TACTAAGCGATTTTAAAATCATTTATTCGCTCACCCTTCTCTCGTTGCAAAAATTGGCTTCTTCCGTCTGCCTTATTGCTGTCAAAAATCAAGAATACATTTTTTGTTTCGATCTGAAAATTTTGCGACTACTTTATCTTAGAAGTACTTTATTTTGCGAAACTTTGACTTTATCGTTGTCTTTCACTTATTTGCAGCCGGAGTGATGCCGCGTCTCTGCACGGATGATTTAAATTCTCAATGGGAAGGTGAAGATCCTGTTGAATGGCATGTCTGGCTTGTACCGGAGGCCCTTCAGGATAACGAAAGCCTTCCAGACTCGTCTTGCATCTCAAACATCCTCGGAGGTAAGGATCATGCTCCTCGGAAACCTACTTCTTGGGGGCTTGGGAGCCTGTCAGAAGGCTCTCCTTTCGTGCCCCGTTCGGTATTGGCCCAGTGTAAGTCCTCGATCCTAAATTATTTGGCTGTTCATTACTTTTTCATATTCACTATCTCTAATTGTACCTTGTGCATCTGTTGAGGAAAGCACCTCTGCCTATGTATTCCTTTATTGGACCCGATTGCTTTGCCGCGTCATACCTATCGGAAAGGGCCGCAGGCTTTGATAAATCTATAGTTGGGGAAGGTCGCCATACGGCGGCGAGTCAGCGACAGAGACGGGGGTGGGATCTGGTAGGTATTGATTCGCTAGTGTTTAATCAACTCTGGGCCCTTCACGAGACCCTGGAAAGTTAAGGACATCTCTGTAATAATGGGAAAATCAACCTTCACGCTTTACGTTGGAGACATGCGCTTTAGTGTTTTATTTATCAGCGAAACGCCCAACCTACCGAGCACACCAACCCATCGCCGAGGCCTGGCACTGCTAGTACGCCGTTGGAACTAATTGCCTTATCTGCGTTCAAACCGCAAAGTTTTGTGGGCAATACATAGTGAAGTTCCATGTTGTAGAGTGGAATTTCTAAAAAGCGCACTTGAACATTTATATTGTTGACACGAATAGACTTTATTTAGGAGAAGGGTTGCTGCAAAGACTGTTAAACAGAGTTCGATTCCATTCTTCATTCGAGATCCGGGAGGGACTGACACGTGAATTTGACAGATCTGTAGTCAAATCTTGTCATCCTTTTCCTTCAATGCTACCATTATCGAGTTCTATAAAAGTCATGACTTAACGAGGCCACTACTCAGCTTCTGCTTCTTGAGGTGTTCTTTTCTATTCTCAACCCCGACCCACCTAGAACGGTCGAAAAAGCGATGTTGTGAGGGTACTAAGGTGCTAGCTAGCAACTAAATTGGGTACGTACATTATTTGGTTAGAAATTCAGTTGGATAGCATTTTGTAGCAGATGTGAAGACCTCTACTGTGACTATTTATTAGATTTCTTATAAAATGTAACATTTCTGAACTGAAGGTTTCATAACGAGACTAGATATGAAGAGACAATAACATTTTGTCAAATACCACCACGATTGACCACTCTTTGAACCTAGGCTAGAGTATATGTCTTGGAATTTCTGTCCGATATCTGTACGCACGAACGAGCTCCTTGCGGAATTCGTGGAATATAGGCGCCCCCACCTCTTCTTCCACATCTTTCAAAGTCAGGATCTCTGAAAGGGAAAATAGTCGCTGACTAGAAAAGACCTGGAAAAATGCCAGCCTAGTGGTAGAGGTCTCCATGGTCACCCTTGATAGCATCGGCGCCCTTCTCTGCCACCATGTAGACTGAGTTCTGAATGCGACAGTCAGGAATAACAGGGATAGCAGAGGCATCAATAACCCGTAGGTTCTTGATTCCATGTACCTTCAGACCCGCATCCACCACACCTTGCTGGATATTTTTGGAGAGCCGGGCTGTACCACAAGGATGGAAAGAGGTTTGAGAGCGATCCAACACAGTTCTTTTCATAGCGTCGTCGTCGTGAAGAGGCATATCCCAAGGATACTCATCCAGAACGATGTCCTTAAATCCTTCACCATTCTTGAGAACATCATATGCAAATCTGATACCCTCACGGATAGCAATGATATCAAGGTCATCTTTAAAATAGTTCAAGTTGATGTTAGGTTGCTCCAGAGGATCCACGCTATTGAGGGTGACCTCACCACCCTCGGAGACAGGACGAACAAGATCCACCATAACTGTCATATAACTGCCTTTGTTTGGATGCGGGAAATGCCACTGGAAGGCACTACCAAACAGAGGGATGAAATCAAGCTCGAAATGGGGCTGGCCATAGGGACAGAAAGGATCGAGTCCACTGTTGGCAGCTTTTGCCTTGATGTACTCAGGCGACTTTTCAAGGTATTTGTCGATGCGAGGGAAACCAATCATTTCGAGGAAAGGTGACCCCATAGGGCCGAGATGTCCCTTGGAATAGGATTCTAGAACCTTGTTTTGCAGTGGGCCCTTTCTCAAGACATGGCTATCCATCGAGAACTCATCTTTAAGACGAAGAACAAAGGGAACGCCAGGGTGATCTAAGAGATGCTGACCAACATGACGGGAATCAACAATCACTGGGATATTGTGCTTGTTCAGCTCTGGTGCCGGCCCTATGCCGCTGAGCATCAGAAGCTTAGGGGTTTCGAAGACACCCTGAGAGACGATAACTTCACGAGAAGCATAGAGATTCAGCTCTTGCCCAGAGCCGGTGATCACAGTAACACCCTTAGCAGTGCGATCAGCATCATCGATGATAAGCCGTTTCGAGTGAACCTCAGGAAGTATGGTAATGTTTGGCTTATCCACGACTGCCAGAAAGCTTCCGGAGCGCCGACCCTTGTAGATAGTATTGACACTATGAACTAGGCCCCTCATCTCACCATCAAAAATATTTTCCGTAAGAGGCTCACCGGTGGATTTCCAAGCCTTAGAAAGAAGATCACGGAAGCCCTTCATTTCCGGCATGAGGTCGGCATGGGCAATCGGAATTGGACCACCGGAACCAATTTTCTTGAGCTCTGGAGGATATAGGCCAGCATCGTCGTGATAAGTTACACTCTTTCGGAGATAAGGGACGAGAGGATCCCAAGTCCACTCTTTCCCGCCATACTCTTCCCACATATCAAAGGTAGCCTTTGAACCGGGAACCCAAGAGAAGTAATTCAAGGACGAGCTACCACCAAGAGCTTTTCCACGGGTGTTAGGCTTCTCAACGCGCTCGTAGTCATCGCGCTTCACCATGGTAGTCTTGTAGGCCCAATCATACTGGCCGCCACGAATATCCATAGCAAGACCGGGGATCCGAATTTCCTCATTATCCTTGGAGGTTCCGATGCCAGCTTCGACGATGAGGATTCTGGCATTGGGATTTTCTGCAAGGCGACAGGCGACGATATTGCCTGCTGTACCACCACCGACCACAATAAAGTCAAAAAAAGTACCGTCTTGAACAGACATTATGGCGAAAGAGGCCTTTAGAAATGCGATTGGAGATTGAAACTGAACTTAGATGAATCAGAAAAGATCCAACGACCTCTTTATAGTGTTGCTCCTCGCTCACGCTGTGGAGTTTGGAGCCATCAATGACACCATTGATTGTATAGCATCTTAGGACCCTATTAACCCCTGCTATCTAGCAAATTCAATAAATTGAATATGATACATAGTCTGAAGATGACGAGTTTATTATTCTGTTTTGCTACGGCGGTTTGATCCAATACGCTACGATTGGTCTAGTAGTATGTCTATTTTAGGCTTCGCATGCAGACGGGCTCTCATATCAGATATCATGTTCCATTCAGGTCAATGACTTCCGAAAATGGGTCTACTATGGTGGGAACAAACAACACTTTGTGAGTTAGTATCATTATTATCGATCCACCTCAGCTACAGAGGCGAAAGTGATGATGTATTTTATACCTCGGCAATTTTGATGGGAATCTATCGCTGTGGGGCCCCCCTTCCGCCATGAAGCCAAATTTGGTAATAGTATCTGGCCAATCATATCATCTACCGCAATGTCCCTTTAATGCGCGTTCAAATCATTTTGATTTCTAGGTACAAAATTTCACCGCTACTCTAGCACCTCTCACCATCGCGTGGCCAATCTAGGCCCATATTAAGGAGCTGATCTGCGGAACTTGAGATCAATTTTTGGTGCCTCTTTTCAAGCTGGAATTGGAAGAAGGATGTGTTACCACAGGTAGTAATTTAAAATTAGAGTTGAGAGATTGGCCGATTGGTCCAGAGCGCAGTGGTTCTTGGAGGTAATTAGCCCGATTACAAAATTCACTCATAGAGAATCATGGCATTCTGTCCAAAAACGGTGTCGGTTCCTGTCATTTCCGAATTAGCAATGTCTTTGCCACTCCTCTGCCCCCCAAATATGCTAACAAACGTCATTAGTGAGTTTCATGCCCCAATATCCAACGGCAGCCTAGATTGATGGTAGCTCCGGAAAATTGCGTTTCTGTGCTTTGCAAATTTGGAAGTGGTGGTTGGTTGATCCGATATCTTTTACGGAGTTGTAATACTTTGACTTCCGAATTAGTTAGTACTACCGTTTTAGGCAGCTTCTTCTTTCTCGCATTTCACGATTGAACATCGTTGCTGAGTTCTGATGCGTCACTTAATGTGGGGTAAAATGCATGAGCAGTACAGTTGTGTTGCAAAAGTTTGAAGCCCCCTTATTTACCGCCTTTCCTACCGCTCACCAAACTAGGCCTACCGCCCACCAAATTAGGCACAAGCCCCTTATTCCACTTCATGCCATTCGCTGGCATAGAGGTTTTAGTGGAGCAGAAACCCCCTTTTTCTGCCGGGGGTTTCAAACTTTTGCAACGCCACTGTAGCCCACGGGCCCAATCTCCAATGAGTGTAAGTGTAATACTAAGAATCGAAGCAAGCTATCGTACAACAATGCGGGATAAGTCTTCAGGATGAAGGCTATAAAGAGTCGTTCGCCCAGGAAAGCTCAGGCCAGCAGTTGCACATATTCCCTTCGGTATACTCTGATTGCCTTATCTTCGCCGTCAAAATTGTCACATCATGGGTGACGACAAGTACTATACTTTAGCAGAGGGTATAAGGCCTTCCCGTCCTTTGATTTGCGCTCCAAGGCTGATGATTATCAGGCTGTCCCTTCGCAAGCAATGCAACAGCTCTTTTGATGCGTGGAAAACAAGGAAGTGGGCTCGGCTTGCTTCAGGATACTCAGCTTATTGAGACCTTGGCCCATTTCTCTCGCGAGAGAATCCCAGAGAGGTAAATATCCTGACCAATCAATCGTCAATTTTGAAGTAGCTGCGAAGTCTTGAAGCTAATGTCTGCGAAGAGTCGTTCACGCCAAAGCTGTCGGGTAAGTTATCAACTTCTGCATGAGGATCATCTTATTGAGAATTTGTAGATCCTACGGAGAATTCGAAGCCACCCGTGACTGTTCCGACTTCACCAGCGCCAGCTTTCTCAACAAGGCCGGAAAGAAGACGCCTGTGCTTCAGCGCGTATCAACGGTTGGCCCCGAATCTGGATCTGCTGATACTTCCCGTGATGTGCACGGATGGGCCATGAAGTTCTACACCGATGAAGGCAACCAGGATTTCGTTTTCAACAATACTGTACGTCCTTTCTTCTTTATTTCTGTCTTTCTGTCTTTCTGACACCCAATGAATTAGCCCGTCTTCTTTATTCGCGACCCTATCAAGTTTCCTTCTATGAACCGCTCTCACAAGCGACACCCTCAAACTCATCTTCCCGACGCAAACATGGTAAGTACTACCGAATTTTGCCGGTTATGCGAAATTACAAAACTAATCGGCCTTACAGTTCTGGGAGTATGTGAGCTTCTTGAGCTCCGATTCTTGAATGAGACTGATCATCATATAGTTTCCATGTCGGCAATCCTGAGGGTATCCATCAACTTCTGGTTCTGTTCAGTGACCGTGGCACTCCGAAGTCAGTTCGCTACATGAGCTCGTACAGTGGACATACATATAAGTTCACTAAGGCAGTAGGTGACTACTATTATCGGTCATTGAACCTTTGACTAATTAGACACTTAGGATGGCTCTTTTAAATACGCTAAAATCCATGTGAAAACGCAGCAAGGAATTGAAAACCTCTCTTCTCAAGAAGCTACCAGAATCGCCGGAGAGGACCCTGATTTCATGATTCGCGACATGTTGGAGGCTATTGAGAGAGGTGACTATCCAACCTGGAACGTTTACGTCCAACTGATGAGCCCCGAAGAAGCGGAGAAATACAAGTGGAATATCTTCGATATGACCAAGGTTTGGCCACATACGGACTTCCCTCTGCAGCAGATCGGCCGTCTTACTATGAACCGAAACGTAAGCTTTCATTAATTTCCAATATTTTCTTGCAATTATTGAATCGGAACAGCCAAAAAACTACTTTGCGGATATCGAACAAGCTGCATTTTCACCCTCGACAATGGTCCCTGGAATCGCTGCCTCCGCTGATCCAGGTAAGTCAGAAAGCCACACAATTATTCGCCATAAGATACTCCATAGATTAACTGCCCCTAAGTACTGCAAGCACGACTCTTTGCGTATCCTGATGCAGCTCGCTACCGCATTGGCGTCAATTACCAGCAACTTCCCACCAACGCTGCGAAAGTGCAAGTCTACTGCCCATTTCAGCGTGACGGGGCCATGAGGTTTGACGAAAATTACGGTGGTGACCCCAACTATGTTGGCTCCTCGATCAAACCCACCAAGTTCTACCAAGACGAGAAGGGAATTAGCGCCTCTGCACTGGCCCTACACACCGATCACGAGAAGTGGGTGGGAGAGGTCTCCGCTTACACAAGCGAGATCACAGATGACGACTTTGTCCAGCCTGCAGCATTGTGGGAGGTCATTGGTCGCGAGTCTGGTCACCAAGATAGAGTCATCGAAAACCTTGTTGGCAGTATCAAGGGCGTCAAGTACCCTGAGTTGCGTAAGGCTGCCTACGGTAAGATTTCCTAGTAGCCCTAACCACGCGCCTCCGGCGTGGTTGTATATTATAGAATCAGACTAACTGCGAGCTTAGGACTCTTTAGACGTGTCAATAAGGATCTCGGGTCCATGTTGCAGCAGCGCACCGAAGCAGCGATCAAGACTGCGCAGAATTAGGAAGGGTGATCTAGTCCATCCGACTAGAATATCTACTAGTTTCTACCGAGTAGACGTTTGTCAAATGATTTTGCCCGTGGAAGGCGATGCGTTTAGAAGGATTGATTTGGTTTCATCGTAGTTCGAGCTATGAATTGTAGAGAACTATTTGGTAGAATGGCAAATGGGAAGCAATGGATATGACTAGCCTTTATCACCTTTCACATAGCTCTTGATCGTACCCCTAGATCTAGAAGAAAATACCTCGGCCCTTCATCGCCACCACCAATCTCATCTTCTTCTGTCTGTATCGTTAGTCACATTCGTGCCATGAATTGGTTGAACGTGTGGCGAGTCCTCGGGTTGGACCCACTTTGATTGTTCGGCCGGTTGAAGAAGCCACACTTCACCTCAGAACGAGTCAAACCCGCCGAAGCATTTCCCAGCCCTCAAAGATACCCCACCTCGAGCCATAGGTATCCCTTAGCGCAAATTCATTTAGCGCGAGCCATTAGTTGAGCTTGAGCTCCACCACCAGTCCTGGGTTGGCGGGTCAGATGTGATTGGGCGGTGTAGCATGTGATGAGCATCTTACCCAGATTTCGATATCCCTCAATACTATTTTTCCCCTGCATTCTTCTTCCAGATTCACTTGGATCCCATAGCCAGAATTGAACATGTCTCCGCGGGTCTCCAGCTCCTCAAGTGGAACAGGAAGTGGGCAAGGAACACCCCAGTTCACTTTTGTGACAGAGAACAAGCAGTCGGAAGCGCGGAGCCATGCAATGAGAGAGCACTGGAAAGGTAGACATAAGCGCAAACAGGACTCGAAGACATCGCATCGGAAGATGGCCTTATTGCCGCGATCTCTATTGCCGCAGTTGGCGAATGCCCTAGACGAGGAGAGCTCGCCGGGGTTGCAGTGGGATAGCGATAACGACAGGGATGCGAGTTCGGGTAAGAAGGTGGCGGGGAAGAAACTTGAACCTCAACATCCTGGCATCCCAGCCCAGTTGTTCTGTGGCATGAGCTACGCTCTTTCGAGCTCAAGACCGGACCCGTTCCAAACGTGTCCTGTGCATTTGACAAGCCAGCACCAGAAACTTTTATATCATTGTGCGTATTGAGCGTTGAGTTACGCTGACAATCTGGGCTGCTTGCCTGTGGCAAACAATTTGTGCTTACTATATACAGGGATAGGCACGCATGCGGCTATGATGTTCGAAGACTTAGACGTTACCGAGTTTAATCCAATGAGAGATGTTTGGTTCCCACTGGACCTTTCAAATGCTTCGTCTTTCAACTGCATTATGGCACATTCAGCTGCCCATTTGGCTCATTTATACGGTGGAACTCTTCCCCGACGAGGAACAACTTCTTCTGATGCCTTGAATTACAAGATTGAAGCTGTTAGGATACTGCGGCTCTGGATTAGTGATCCGGAGACGGAATTGTGCGATAACGCCTTTGCAGCTGTTGTTCGTTTGCTCACGTTTGAGGTATGATTTTTTTAGTTCGAGTTTTCAGTTGGGAATCGACTAACTAGCTTTGACGTAGCGATATTGGGGTACCGTGAAAGACTGGAAAGTTCATCGTGATGGCTTACAAAGGATGATCAATGCCAAAGGTGGAGTTGAGGCGTTGCATGAAAACTGGCGCTTAGAACTTGTGGTTTACCTGTGGGTGCAGATTCAAAACGAATAGAGATTGCCATACTGACGTTGCAGGGTGTCATTAATGTCGCGGCCGTCATGGCTCGAGTCTGCGAATAGTCTCGATCGTATCTCTGACCCTCTTTTATCAACCCCCATTATGCAGCGCACACATGGTCTCGACGTTCAAAAGATCCGCTGCCTTTGGCTGATATCATTCATTCAGGACATGAGAACTTTCATGGGATCGTTTTACTCCACAGGCCTTTCTGGATACCCTACTGCTCATGCGGCAGTCGAGCTTTTGCGTCAAAATTTTCAAAACTCCGCTAGGGCATCTTCCTCTAGCCAGAATACTATGGAATGGGAAGAAGAATTGCTCAGTTGTCTTTTCTCCCTCAGCGTGCTGATACAGGACTCGATATCTGTCCTGTCTGATGGTGCGTCAACAACAGCCAATGGACCAAGCACCCTGGATGGACTAGAGATCTACCTACGTTCTTCACAACACATGTGGATGAGTTCAGTCTACAAATTGCGCATTGTCTTGTTTGAAAGCCTTGCAATACTTTTTGAGGATGGGGGGTCCAAAATGAATTACGTTACGGACCTGGTGCAAGTTCTAGGCACATTGAGTTTGGAAGCACGCCAGGGTGTCGAAAATTGTCTTCTCAATCTGCTTAACAGTCTTGGCAACAATAACAAGTTAGTGGTAGATGATTGTTGGACGCCAGATTCGCTTTTGTCGTCCATGCACGGGCATTAGTGCGGCACCTGTGGTTGTCATGTCATGTTAGAAGGTTTTCCATTTGTCTCATTTCATTATGCAACCAGGGGATAAGTCAACGGATCGGACAGAGCTCTAATAATAATAGAAACCTCGAGTAACATGCTTGTATTTACTTTCTTATTGTTAAGACTTAGATCGTATTTAATAACTATAAAGCAAGGAGGAAACGCTGCCCCGAGGTACCGTCCAGTATGTAAAATCACATCAAACCTCCGTAGGTCTGGCCCTCTTGCTCCAGCTGCTCATCCTCTTTAATGTATTCCTTGAGGCGGGTCTCATCCTTCTTCAAAATGGAACGAATGCCACCCTCGCTGTCCTCCTGCCGATTTTTTGGGTCCTGCTCGTCGTGTCCATTCTTGTGGTGATGGTCGAAATGTCTTTCGAAGAAGCCTTCCTTGTGCTCGGTATTCTGTTGGGTGGGCTGCTGGGTGTCTAATTTCATTGGAACATGCGGTTATGAATGTAGTTTGGAGGGGAGGGTAGACATCAACCAATGGTGATCCGTACCTTGAGGCATTTTGCTTAGGCGAATTCGAAGACAGATTGCTGTAGGATGTGGTTTATTACTGGGTGCGGGATAGAGAGAGATATTGCTGGAGGTAGGAGAATTGTTGAACAGTTCTTCATTTCCATGCTATACTTATACCTTAATGATATTACAGTACAAGTATAATTGGGGGTTTAAGGTTAGCTCATGATGCACGAGATACGATCAGCCTTCTTGATCCGGTAATAGTATTTGGCCAATCAGGACTAATGATGTATGGTGCCGATCCGCTCGTCAGTGGCACTCTGGACCCACTCAAGCGGCGTGTACATAGTTCGCTACGACGCTGGCAAGCTTTCAAGCAAAACAACCCTAGGTGCACTAGGTATGATTGGACAATCAATTTTAACTGGTTTACACCTAAGGGCCCCGTCAACAATGAACCGTGCGAGAAGCTTTCTATACAGCTGCAGGTGATTTCTGTTCTGATTCTCCCTTCATAGGACTCAAAGTACTGCCAGCGCCTTTCTCGTCTTTGTATCTGTCTACAAACCCTCATGACTCTGCAGCACCTGGAAACCCAGAGCTACTGGTGCAACTGATCCTTATCGCTATCCCAAAACATCGATGCGAGTAATGACTAGCATGAAACCCGCAAAATTCCAGCCCGTGACTGGCCCCCTCACACGACACGCAACGTTTCTTGTCTTAACCGTCACATCTCCATCCGCAATCCCAACTATCCGCTCAACTCTCGCCGGCATCTCTAGTCGTGCCAAAAATATCTGCTCCCGCGATACCGACGCCAAATTCACCTGTATCGTCGGGATTGGCGCTTCCGTCTGGGACTCCATAACCAGCAACCTTCCACGTCCTAATGAACTACACCCCTTCCGCGAAATCAAAGGCGTCAAACACACCGCCATTTCAACACCGGGAGATCTCCTCTTCCATATTCGCTCTGAACGTCGAGACCTCTGCTTTGAGTTCGAGCGGCAGCTAATGGATAGCTTCGGTGATGCAGTGCATCTGGAAGATGAGACCGTTGGATTCCGCTACTTCGACACGCGCGATCTTCTCGGCTTCGTCGATGGTACGGCAAATCCTGTCGGTCCTGATGTGCGACCTTCCGTCCTCGTTACTGCCGAAGACGATAATGCACGCGCGCAAGGGGGTAGCTATATCGTCGTCCAGAAATACGTCCATGATCTACATCAGTGGAAAGGGTTGGGATCTGAGCAACAAGAGCAGATTATCGGGCGCACAAAGGCCGACAACATAGAGCTCGAGGACGCCGAGGACGGAAAGCAGGCGTCACACAAGACACTCAACACGATTGAAGATGAAGAAGGCAATGAGTACGATATCTTACGTGATAATATGCCTTTTGGATCACCGGCGTCTGGTGAGTACGGCACTTACTTTATTGGGTACACGCGGAGGCTGTGGGTCATTGAGAAGATGCTTGAGCGGATGTATGTAGGACATCCGCCTGGGATGCATGATCGGTTGCTGGATTTTTCAAGGCCCTTGACTGGCTGTGTCTTCTTTGCGCCTTCGACGGATATCTTGGATCATCTTGAGTAATAGAATTCATACATACCTAGTGGACGGCGTGTGCACGTGACTATCTAAAGTATGCAACGTAACAGGTATTTTGTTTTGCCTGCCCGGGGTGTGGAGTGGAGTGGAGTGAAGGGGGTTATCGTCTTATCTTTTGCTGGCCGCACAAGAAAAATCTTATACCCTCATGAGGAGTAAGCGTAGGTAAAGCTATGTGTTGTAACTGTCTGTATCCTTCCTTTGTTATTTGTGTTCTGTTTCCCTTCTATCCTAGATCTTAGTTTTACTCTTGCCCCTGTAGGGTGCTGGACTGGCCTGAGTTGCTGTTCTGGCTGTTGTTGTAGGTGAGGGCTTGGTGAGGGCTTCAGCGTTGGTATTGGTAATGTATTATAGTATTGTCTTAATAGTGACTTAGTCCTCTGTATTGTAAGTACCTACTGTGTCTGTAAGCGCCAGTGCTAGCTTCTTATATTATATCTCTTCTATCAGTGCTATAATTTCTGCTTCCTTTACTATTGTATATAGGTATTCTTCTGATAGTAGTAATTTATACAGACGTAGGATAGAGGCTCTCTAAGTAGTATATATCTAGTTCCCTATAGGAGAGTTTAGAGTATTACTAAGATTACTTCTGTCTCCTTCTCTGTTATCATCAGGATAGATACTAGTATATATACTGCTATCTAGAAGATTAGGTTGTTCTGTTCTTGTGTAGCTGCCAAGATCTAGAATATGTTGTGAAGTTCTGTGGCTATGTTGGCGTTAACCTTAGCCGTCTGGGGTGCTTGTTCATCGTCGCTGTTGTCCCCGTAGGGTACGAGGGAAGGGCTGGTCGCTTCGTTTACCTTTGTGAGCTGTGTGATCTCTGTGGGTTGCGTGGTCTCTTCCATATATAAATATAACGTTCCTTTCGAAGATGGAAGGCTAGATAATGCCAGTGAGTGGGTTGAGCTAATAAACCTATAAACTACGCCTGCTTTCAACACGTCATTCTTGATTGACTTACAAATTCTGTATCTTTAACTCCAAATTTGGATAACCCTTTCAAGATGTCTTCTTGCTCACTTCCGATTGAAAATTGGTCTCTGATGAGTAAGCAGACTCCTCTGCCCCAAGTACATGGCGATCGTGTCGAAATGTGATTCACCATCTGGAGAGAGGATCTCTGTTGAATCAAATGCGTTGAACCTTTTCTGCGCTTTAGGATTACCACCAAGAAGAGATACGCTGAGAGCTTCGTTGTCGAGGTATTTCCGTTCTGTTAAGGACTGTTTTCAACTCCTTCTTCTGATTCTTCTTGGAACGAGCAGGCATTGCAAATGCTCAACACAGAATCAGAAATTTGCTAGTCTGGGTCTGAACGGGGCCGGGCCCTGGACCGGGGATATCAGGGACGTCAGAGCAGTGCCGTAGTTAAGGCCTCTGAGACATAGCGCCAAGACTTGGTTGGGCAACGTAGCCCTTGTGTGCATGTGGCGAGTATCGTAAAAGTGGTCGAAACCATCTCGCTCGGGGAAATACTTTCGTGATGGGCGCGCTTCTGTCGCATCAACCTGATTCCGGTGAAGTGTGCTTCGAGAATCTTCACGGTATTACGGACATATGTGCAACGCGCGAAGTACCAGCGACTAAGTTGAGGCTGCACAAAGCGAGTGAGTGGGTGAATATTCGAGCCTCCACTGCTTGGGTTCGACTACCTGGCGAACAAAGATTGTTTGGTTGTATGTGGTCAATCCACTGTACTTGAGTGAAGTTGATCTGGGTCGAGACTGAACCTGGCTGAGAGAGATGATAGATAAACTTGCTCTGGGCTGAGAGAGAGGGGACTCTTCCACATTCTCCACAGGGATAGGGTTCGTCATGAACCTCTCTCTCATGAGTTGCAAGAGATGACGCTCGGATACTAAATCCGCTTCCACATCCAGGGTATGTGCAGGGAAAAGCTTTTCGAGTTACCGATGGACAAACTCAATATGTTCTTTAACAAATTGTGCTGCGGGAAATGTGACAGAACACTCAGGGCACTGAAAACCCATGCCACGGTGGACTGTGTTGATATGCTTTTCGACATAATCCACTGTTGAATCCTTTCCACATTCAGGATCTGGACAGGGGATGGGTTCAGTGTGAACAATGTTCTTGCAATCCGATGGCTTCTCGGAACTTATTTGCTGGCCACATTTGTCACACGAAAGTTTCTTTTCGTTCTTGTTCGTCATGTCGATGGAGGTAAAGAACGCGAGAAATCAGAGTCCTGGGGATAACCCTCTAGGTTCCTCCCTGTGCGCAACACGGGGTTGAGCAGACGCAAAGACAAGCTACTCTCAAGCGGTGTACCTGTGTCTGAGTATGTGCGGGATTGCTTTTGTGATGGTGTGTGTTCAGGACTTGCGTTCGATCTCTTCGCCATACTTTGTCAGCTGTGCAGGAGGATGCTTAAATTTGGACAACTGAGGAAAATAAGGAGAGAGAGTTCGGGGATGCAGACGGATACTTGTTTACATTTTTATGGCGGAAGGAAGGAAGAAAGGAAGGAAGGGAGGGAAGTTCATATAAAAGTGGGAAGGAACTACCCGTGTCCATGGCAAACTATAGACGTCACCGGGCCGATGCCCTACTAGTTAGACTGGCAGAGTCCCGAAGGGAAATACCCTTATACTTACCTGTTTATAGTAGTTTTATTCATATATATCGAGCTTCTCTCCACTTTCTGGTTGAGTTTATTGCACTATTCCCATATGGACTAATCGGTATACATATAGTACCCAGTTAGTCCCCCGGGAAAGAAGGTCTGGGTGACTGTTCTGGTGGTGACTCGGAACTCCCTTAGTTTAGCTTATATACTGGTATTTTAGCATCTATAGGATAAGCCTATATTTATGACTAGTATATATACTAGTTAATCTTTACCGTTCTGCTGGGAAGACAAAGGAACCTCCGCAGACAAAGAAATACAAACGGATGTCTCCGGTGAATTACAAAATTCATTATTAACATTAAGCCTTAGGCACACTATGTACACTGGTCTATATCCTCATCCACGACTTTATATGCAAGGTATCTCCAATGACCGGCTCCCCTTTTTATACACGAGCAATACCAGTGCCAACCTTGACGATTCTCGCCGCGATCAAAGTCAATGTACCCGCGATGATTGCGCTGCCCATAAACATTTGCGCGTACAGATAGCCTCCATTATCAAGCTGCACCAATGCACCAGCAATAGGTGAACCGATCAAAGCAGCAATCGCAACAACACTGAGAACCATTCCCATCCGCACGCCAGTCTTCTTCATATCCGTCGTGAGAGTGCTCAATGTCGCAGGAAAAGCGATTGGATACCCGCAGCGGACAGACCATAAAACACCGCGAATGCCCATAACCCCGACATATCCTTCACGGCAGCCCAGCAATAAGCCACCAGAGCCGTCGCACCACTGAACGGAATCAACAAATTCAATGGGCCCGTAAATTGATCCGCCAAGAAGTTAGGCACGAGTCGGCCCACGATTCCAACTCCGTTCATGACCATCAACAGGTCGATAGAGGTCGTCTGGTCCACGCCAATAACATTGCGACTGAAACTGCCAATGTAGAAGAAAGCAACATATAGACCCCAGAAATTGAGGAACATGCCAATAGCAAAGAGCAGATAAGAAGGTTCCTTGAAAGCAGCCCACTCAACAATAGGCCCACTCTTCCGCGGCGGCAAACGCTGCTTGAAAAATAGCACACAGGGGATCAACGTAACGACTGAAATCAGTCCAAGTACACGCATCGTCCACCCGTATCCAATCTGCGGCAGCAATTTCATAACAACGGCGGGAAACACCAAACCACCCGTTGCCGAGCCCGAAGCAGCCAGACCAAGGGCAATTCCACGCCGACGAACAAAGTACGTCGAGATCAGAGCAAGCGTAGGACAAAACATAAGTCCACACCCAATTCCCTGACCCAATCCCTGCGCCAGAAAAAGCTGCCAGTACTCCGTACAAAGCGAGGTCATAAAGATGCTGAAACATTCCAGCGTTGCGCCGACTGTCAACGTGAAGCGAAAGTATCCCGCATCTGTCGCGCGGCCAGAGAATGTCCCGATGAAGAAAAGGAGGAAGATCTGAATACTACCAACCCAGGAGATATCCGAGGGAGATCGGCCCAGCGTCGAAGTATAGTATGTTTGGAACACGCCGAAACTGTTGATATACCCCCACGTGTTGAAGATAATCATATGGCCCAGTGCTACCTGCAGCCATGCCTGTAAGCCTCCATCCGGTGGAGGACCGATGTCTTTGCCCGACTCGCGGGTTCGGACGGCGGAGAGAGTGCGCGCGACGGTGCTGTTGTTTGTTGGTACTTGAGCGAGTTCATTTTGGGGGTCTTCGTTTATGGTAGAGTCGTCGTCGTCGGAAGAGGAGTGGTGTGAATTGGCTTCGAGAGCACCGAGGTCATTTTTATCTGTGAGTTGGTGGAAGTTCGTCTCCTCGACTACACTAGACCTCTTTTCTTCAACTTGGTGGGGTGTTGAATCGGCCATTGCCAGTAATATTGTCAACCGGGACCGAGGATTTGCAATTCAAAGAAAGAATTGAATGGGGAAGTGGAAGGCCGAGTCGACCCAAGTTATCATGTCTGTACCAGTGCCAGCACAAGTAACAGAAAGAACGAAAAATGAAGAGGAAGCAGACAGTGGAGATAAATTAATGTCTCCAAAACCGACTGAAATAAAAATGCCTGACTCCAACTGACTCATGACCACCGGCGACCCAATTTTTTTTTCTCCTTGGCCAAAAAGAAGCCCGCTCATCCAAAGTTGAACGGCCTTTGCGCCGATCCTTTTGCGGCAACCGGTAATTCGCACAGATTGCCGAGTACAACACGCCCTTCCGAAGCCACATCCGAAAACGGGTTCCACCTGCAAAACCACAGAAATGACTGCAATAAGGGTGGTGGATGGGGGACAATCGCATTATCATTATCATTAGTAGATATCAAACCTGCTCTCCACTTTATAGTTAGGTCTATCATGCCATCCCCACGGGGGATGACTACGTGTACCCCGTCAGTCCCCCGCAAAAGAGGTGGCCCGCCTCCCAATTCGGTCACGCTCACATGTCTCGGAGTCTGCGGGATAAATCCATATCCATTGCTATCTAATGTCTTTACAGTTCAAGAGTTATGCATCTATGTCAGGGATTATAACAAAATGAGACAAGAAGCCAGAGAAAGAAAACACGGGACAAAAACGTCCAATATGCGCCGGCAACCCCCCCCGGAAATCTAAGGCAGAGCAGAGCAGAGCAACCGAAATTTTAAAATAAGAGCAAGAGAGAGAGAGAGACGTGGCAAAAAAAAACAAAACAAAACACCGTCCACCGGGCCCCATAGGTTCGTTTCGTATACTACGTGCATGAGATCATGTGGGGGATTGGCTTGGTCCAGATCGCAAAGTTCGCCAAGTCGTCCAAGCACGCCCAGCCCCAGCAGCCCGGCATCCCGGAAGCAAGGGGAACCCATGTCAATAACTGGATGCAATTAAGATCGGTTCGGCCCGAACGGTTCTATGTCTCAGTGATCTTGGTTCGAACTGCTGTTAAGCAATTGGATTGTACCGATGACGTCTGCTGGTTCGAGTAGATGCCAGCTAGCGTCCGTTTGTTTCGAGCTGGCGCCCACTGTGACCGAGTAAACATGGTCTTGGGGCAAACCGGATTTCTTGAGAGCGCGGAACATGTCTTTGTACGAGCTATTGTTAGCCAACCCTGTCTTTTACAAATTCAACAAGGATATTCTGTCCGTCCATTCACATACCTTCGTCCGTAAAGTCATCGCCCAGACACAAGACAAATTCGGGTGCCTTCCCGGGTTCCGGCCCATATTCGTTCACCAGCCGCGTAGCGATAAACCCTTTGTTGACGAATGTTGGTCGTACTTCCAGATTGGCCTTGCCCGCCATAACTTCCACGTCCCATCTTTTGGCGACGGTATCTTCAAGGACCTTGCGGCACTCGCGGGCCTGGAAGGCTCCATACTCCGGGTCGGCCCGACGGTAGTGCCATGTCAATGCCACTCGCTTGCGCTCGATGAACGCTCCTTGAGTTCGCTCGGTATAGTGCTGGAAGACATCTACCACTTCCTTCTGCCAGGCCATATTGGTCTGCTCCGCCAGATTCTCCCAGTCGTCTGAGCCAGGCTGTCGGATGAAACAGCCGTGCTCGGCACTAAGACCAAGTTCGGGGATGTGGCCCATCCATTCATCCAAGAAGGCTTGGTCTCTGCCGCTGATGATCCATACTGCATTTCGGGGATCTGCCGAGAGACTCTTGAGGGTGCGTAATACTCGATCGGACGGAATAGCCGCCTGTGGGTCCTTCACAATCGGAGTCAGAGTACCATCATAGTCGAACATGAATAGACGTCTGCGGGCTTTGCGGTACTGCTTGACGACCTTGGCTCGATCAAGCGCGGGTGTGGCGACGGATTGGTCGAAGGATGATAGATTGGTTAATAAGCGATTCAGGAACTGTCGTGACCAGGTTGCAACTGTGTTGGTGATAACATGTTTATATAGTTTCAAATGTTGTTCCTTGCGTTGCTGGGCGGGCATATGGAGAGCCTTGTCGATAGCACCAGCGACACCCACCAAATCCCACGGGTTGATGTGAATGGCGCTAGGCAAGGTGCCCGCGGTACCAGAGAATTCCGAGAGGATGAGTGGACTGTAGTTTGTCTGCTGGCAAACAATATACTCCAGACTTGTTGTGTTCATACCATCTCGCACGGTGGTAATGAGACCGACATCGGCGACACGTAGGAGAGCAAAATATTCGGACTGCGACAGGTACTGTGGATAGTATTGAACAGGTGAGAAGCTCAATGAGCCGAACCGACCATTGATCGTAGAAACCAGATTCGAGATCTGACCAGCAATGGTGTTCTCCGGATCTTCCTTCTCTTCCTCCACGCTGGTTGGACTTGTCACCTGGATGAGAACAACTTTGTCACGCCATTCGGGATACCGCTCCAGGAACACTTCGAATGCTTGTAGTTTCTGTGCCACGCCTCGAACGCTATCCAGTCGATCACGGCCAACAATGATTTTCTTTCCCGCATATAGCTTGCGAATCCCTGCGACTGCCGTTTCAATATCCGAAGCCCCGAACGCAGCCTTCTGAATAGCTTGTGCATCGATTCCAATAGGGAAGACATCTACGGCAACGTGGGCGCCGTATGCGTCCACACCAGCCGAATTAGATTCGAAACCTAACACCCGCGTGCAACATGAAGAGAAATGTCGAGAGTACGAGAAGGTCTGGAATCCAATCATGTTGGCGCCAAGAACTCCAGTCAAGACTTCCTTGCGCTTGGCAAGACAGCGCACGAATTCACTGCTGGGGAAAGGCGAATGCAAGAAGAATCCAATGTAGACGTTGGGAATGCGTTGGCGCAATAAGCTCGGAAGAAGAAATAGGTGGTAGTCATGGATCCATACGACATCGCCTTCTTGGTATTCCGCTGCAATACGATCTGCGAACAGCTGGTTCAAGCGGGTGTAATCAGCCCACCAGCGTCGCTCCGAGCGTCCGTCTGTGGGTCCATGTTGCTTGTAGTGCAGCAGGGGATATAGCTCCCTCTCGGCATATCGCCGCCATCGACCTTGGTCTTTGAGCAAAATGGTGTCTTGGGGCTCCTCTTGGGCGTCTGACAGCCAGACAGGTACGACTTTGCCATATCGTCCCGTTTCTAATTGGCAGTCAAGTGCTTCCCTTTCTTCGCGACCGACACTGATTCCGTCTACGAGTGGGTTTGAGGGTGGTTGCTGACTCGCATCGACTGGAACAGGCGCGGCCGCTTTGTTGATGGAAATATTCGCGTTGTTGGAGCTCGGGGGCAGATTGTTTGCCACGTTGGAGGGTATTTGTTGGAGAGGGGCCTTGCTCTCCAGGATTGGTTCAACTTCTCCAGTCCATCCTACAAGGGTATGTGACCAATGAGTATCATCGGATGCCAGTTGAGCAAACGAGTCGAATAAGGCCGAAGTGCCAGACCGGGGTTTCACGATCTGTTAACCCAGATAATGAGTCAGTAATTGGCCCCGATTTACAGAGAAGGAATAGTCCAATACGTACCCAGTCTGAGCCTGCTTTGAAGTAAAGTTTGTAGGGTATACAGAAGGCTGCGCTGATCACTCGCCCACTCAAGCGTAGTCCCGGATGTTCTTCACGCGGGTCGATACCAGGCGACATTGGTGAAGTCGGTCCTGCCAAGCTCAAACGACGGAGCAGATCCTCCCCGGCGGATGTTTTTCTCCGGGGTTCAGACCCCGAGGAGGGCAAATCTGTTGGCTCCATTGACTCACTCTTAGCCCCTGGGATGTTTGCGAAGTATGAAGGCGCATCGCTATCGACCGGATGTGTTTTGTCCATATCCAAGCTCGGCGTGGCGTTGGTGGCTTTGGAATATGCTTCGAGATTCAAAGCCTTTATTCCTGGCCCGACAAGTACTGGGTTTGGCTGCCCATCAGGCACATGCGCGGGGCTCGATGATTCAGACATGGCGTGTAGGGTTCGATGTGTGGGAACGGGCAGTTTTCCCCGCGATTGAACTGTACTGTGTGTCAGCACAGGTGCAATTGTCACATGCAGGGCTTTCTCCAACATCAGGAAACTTGATGTTGACAGATATGAGCACTGCAAAGGGAGTCACGTACCTCGGGGCAGGGCGGAGAGGTCGAGGGGTAGATCGACACAAGTTTATCGGGGACTAGGGGCGCGCGAGAGCCATGGATGATCGGGAAGACAGCACCAATAGGTTCCAAGGAAAAAAATAGAATAAACGCAAGATATTCTTTTGGAAGAGGAGTCTGTCGAAGAAGAGGAGGCGTTCGCCGTTGGTGGAGGGGCAAGCGGTGTGTGAGATGCACTGGGGACCGCCGTCCAAAACAGGAACTGACGCTATAGGAATGACGTTGATAGTACGACGAAGTTGCGATATCAACCACCTTCAAAATAAAGCCTTGGGAAGGTTGGTGTCGAGGGGTTCTCAAGAGTTAATCCAGACCGCCAGCACATCTCTGGGTCAAAGTCAAAGTTCTGCACCGATATCGCATTCGTGCTAGTTGGTTGTACCCTAAGGTAATCTTCCCGCATTGGGATCGTCCAGGATTGTCTGCCTCAGGCCAAAGAGTCGTGTGGCCTCCGCCCGCGTTCTGCAATTGGCAGAGGTTGAACCTCTTATCTTCACCTCAGCCTCGACATGCTTCCGAGCTAACCACGCTGTTATGCGGCTGTCCGCCCTTCGATCTTCGCGCATTGCTCTCCAAACCCCTCGGCAGCTTCGTTCCAGTGTCTCATCCCCCCAAGATTCCGATGTCTTCGCCAATAACCTTCGGAAAACATTAGACGCCCATCGAACCTCGAATCGAAATCGTCTCATCCGCAAAGTATACCCTCGTTCACCTGCTGCGGGACTTTGGCGGCCAGAAATTCCTCTTGAAAGCCGTCCCGAATGCCCACCAGCCACACAACCAGCGCCTACAGTAAAGGAGGCCAAGCCCAAAGAGACCACGAGTAGACAACGTCGTCGCCTACGCCATGAAGACGCTGCCACTCGATCAACGCAAAGTCGGCCAGCGGATACATTAATTCGGAGCTCTGAGACTTTCCACGATGGGAGCGCTGGGAATCATCCCTGGTTAAGCTACTTGGAACCCTCTGGTGGGATCGATGATGCCACCACCTTCCTCAATGCAGAGATTCTCGCATTGGAGCGCTATTTATCTCCAAGCTCTCCAGAGCAGATTTGGACCGATCAATTGAGTGCACAGGTCGTCGGCTTGTTAAACCCAATTGTCCCTCACACACCGCAACTCATTGGCTCTCGTCAAATTGGCTTAGCGCTGCCGCATTCAGATCTTAATTTCCTCCTACCATTTGAGGATCTCCTTCGATCTCCAGATCGAGCGCGGAAGCCAAGTGCCACACGGCCCCAGATCCACGATGCGCATCTGCGTCTCCTCCGCCGAGTCGAATCTACCCTTGAGAGCAGTCCATCGTTTGATCGAATTCAACTTTCTGGGAAGCGACGCTCTATTCTTGATGCTCGTCATCACCCTACGGGATTACTACTGCGATTTTACTGTGGTGAAAGAGCCCCGGAACTCATGGATTACCTAAAGAACTATCTGGCTCAGTATCCTACTCTCCGTCCCCTGTATATGGCCACTCGAGCCTTGCTTGAAGCCCGGGGTTTATTTGGATACTCGCAGTCGGGGATCAGACCAGATGTTCTAGCCATTCTCTTGGTTGCTTTTTTGAAGTTGAACCAGAGTCGATTTTCGGTGCCCTTTAATGCCGGAGAGCAGTTTCTGACTTTCTTGAAATTCTATGGCACTGACGTTGACCTTCAATCTATTGGCGTTGCGGTCGACCCCCCAGGATTCTTTGGATTCGAGAAGATCCATGACTCTGAACAGGGAAATACCAACACTGCATGTCTACGTGGCCAACGATCTCTCATCAACGCAAAAAGAACCGCAGTTTGCCGAGGCAACATGTCGGCTGGGCAGAGGCTATGCATTCAAGACCCAACACATTATATGAATGATCTGGGCAGATCTTTTACACGGACTGCTGAGTTGCAGAATGTGTTTTCCACTGCCTACAAACAGCTTTGTGATTCTTCTCAGGGCTGGAAAGATACGGACAAGGTTGAATCGATTCTTGCTTCTGCGCTACGGGCAAATTTCGACCAGTTGGAGACACTGCGAGAGAAACTTGTGCCTAGTGACTGAGGGTCTGTTAAAGTCGAAATCGACTTCCAATTGTACATTATTAAGATACCCTATATAGATAATATATACCCAACTCTTGTCTCTCCCATCCAGATAGAATGGTAGGTGGCATTAGCCCTTCCTCAGTTCTGCCGTGGAAATAGTGCAAGCTATTATGGGCAACGGGCCGTGTCGATAAGACAGGCCACCCTTGGAACCTTCCCAGGAACCCCGATGAACATCGAAAAGAACCAGGGGACGGCAGCTCCTGCTGTTGTTCTCAACCTTTCTTGTTTTTTTTCCGATACGTCTACTTTAAACCTCAGATGAGAGCTATCAAGGTTCCATATACCTCTCAGCGCCGTTAATCTGCCAATCATTGTGGGTAAACGCACAGCTGGGTGGAGACCCAAAACACGCTTGGGCGCGGTCACCATGTCGACCAGGGCCCCAGTCACAACACCTCCGATCGTCACAGGCCCGCTCTCGGTGCGCATCCCCTCTTCTCATGAGTCTGGCGCATTCCTTACCCCAGACGAACTATCACCCCTGGATGCCGATTTTGGCGCTTCCGACTACTTCATGGCCGAGGACGCGCGGGGGGTTCACCCCCCGAGTACCATCGACGACTCGATAACATCCACCAATGATGCACACGATGCGCGCGATGCCCAAGACGACACCACGACAATGTCTGCGCACACCGCGGATCCAGAGTTAGAAGGGCTGGACTTCACAGCGACGACATTTCCAGACCCCGATGACACCAGTGTGCTTCCCCCCCTTGACCGACCGCGACGACAGCAGTCTATTCCCCTTGAGCGAAAATGGCGATCACGAACGAGTCAACAACCAAACCTTGATGGAGGAGAATGAGATGCGTCGGAAGTTGATGGACATGGAGTCAAGCTTCCTGCCCGAGCCGTCGACAATTGAGGTCGCCACGGCTGGACCAACAGCTGGCGCAGACGATACCTATCTGGTTGGGGTTGGTGGTGGCCACGATCCTAACAACACAGACGGACAAAACGAGTCATCACAATTTTCCTTCATTCCACCATCAGAAAGCTACCAAGATGCAGAGCAGGATCGAACCGGTCCTGTTGAAGCGGGCGAGCGCCAGGATGTTGATAATGCCCCGACCTACAATACACAACAAACAGAAAACGAATCAACGTTTGATTCGCTAGCTTCGTCACCCTCAGCAGCTGCAACTTTCCGGAGTACTTTTCATGACCAGAATTTCTCATCCGAACCCGCGCCCCACGCCATCCAGTTTACCCACGATGAACCATCGTTCAGGTCTCAAATGTCCCAAGCTGAGAACGAATCGCAGCTCACACCCTCAAAACTCGGACAAAGCTCTCGCAGTATCTCGCCAGGTCCATCTAGACTATTCAGCGACCAGAGTGGTAGTGTTGCTAGCAGAAGATCAAGTCGGCCTAAATACCTGACTAGCCGCCAGTCCGCCAATCGATTATCGCACTCTTCGATCGCAAGTAACAACACCGAAACTACACACAGTGATGCGACACTAGGTGCTGATTTTGCCCTTCAATCCGGCGGCGCCACTCCTGAGAACTGGGGCAGTCTTAATGCGGGAAGTCGTGCCCATGTCACACGAACAACCAGCCTTGGCAGCATGGCATCTGGTGTATCAGGCTACAGTGAAGAGAACCCTTTCGACAGACGCAATGCGACTGGACCCCCTGATGGTGGTCTGCAAACCTTGGAAGAGGAAGGCTCACCGCGGTCTTCAAGACAGACTGGCTTCGACGAAGGAGGTCCTGTTACTCCCAAAGCTAAACCCCAGAGCTCTTTCCCCAGTGATACGGTGATTGCGGAGCGCATCAAAGGCATCCAAGTACCCAGTACATTTGTCCAAAAGTTTCGCGAAGACTATGGCAACACGGGTCCGTCACCTGAGAAACGAGCGGGGGCTGCAACCCCTGCGTTCGGTCGAAGTGGCCGTAACATGACCCTAAAGGAGCAAAGTAGCACCATTGACCGTCTCTCAAAGGAGAACTTCGATTTGAAGATGCGAATCCATTTCCTCAATGAAGCGCTCAACAAGCGGTCCGAGGAGGGTATCAAGGAAATGATCTCCGAAAATGTTGAACTCAAGTCCGACAAGCTGAAGCTTCAGAAAGACAACCAAGGTCTGAGACGTAAAATTCGCGATTTGGAAAAACAGATGAAGGATCAACAATCTGATAAGGACTCCATGGTCAACCATGACCCCGAAGCGTCAGAAGATGACCGAGACTCGGCTCAAGATGGAGAGATTGTCTTCTTACGCGAGCGAGTTGAAACCTATGAAATTGAGATCGAGCGCTTGAGAACGGAGAGCTTGGCCAGAGAATCGGAAAAGCGACGCCTCGCAGAAATGGTCAAGTCTCTGAATGAGAATCGAACAGGAGGTTCTGATGATGCAGGCGCAAGGGAAGAAAGAGTCAGTCTTCACTAATCTACTTATCTGATGACAGGCTGACATACTATACACTAGGACATGTGGAAAGACATGTTGGAAGCGGAGACTGCTGCTCGTGAACAAGCCGAAGAGGAGAATCGTAATCTCCGAGACGAATCCATTCGTCTTCGCAGCGAGATTTATACAGCTACAGGTGTTCCAAAGTCAGGACAGTATGATCGAGGCGAATCAACCGTTTCACGACAATCTAGCAGAGATGGCAACCGCGGTGCATTGATGAGTACCTCTAGCAGTACCTTGATGGTAGAGCTTGAACTTCTCAAACAGGAAAATGCAGAGCTTAGGAAAGAAGTCAGCGCTCAAACCTCGATGCTCACATCTCGAAACCGTGAGAAGGAACGCCTCTATCAGGAAATTGAAGAATTGAAACTTGGCCAGCGACGAGATGGTGGTCGATCTGTGGCTGGAGACAGCATATTCGACCGTTCTGCATCTCGTGCCTATGGACGACCAATGTCGGAGCCCAGTGATGCTACTGGGGTGTCCCGCGAAGACATGGATCGCGAAGAGCTCGAGGCTCGAAATGGACAGCTACGCGACCAACTGTCGACTCTCAAACTCGATAACCAGGCCATCCGAGCTCAAGTAGATGATTACGTTGGAGAGCTCGAGGCTCTTGATAAGGCCTATCAGGCTGATGTCGACCAGGCTGAAGAGGAAATACAAAATCTTCAACAAGAGCGTGATCAAGCAATTCAGATGGCAGATGAACGCGATGCTGCCTTCCAAGATCTTCGCGCAGAAGCTCAAGAAGAACTGGATACTCTTGGAGAGGAGCTGGACCAGAAGATTGTCGAGTGTCAACGTCTGAACGAAGAGCTCCAAAACCAGGATGAGAACCTCAAGGTCTTACAGGCAGAGATGCGCTCGGCCAGCGAGGGTATCATTCGACTCGAGGAAGATGCACAGAACAACTTGGAGCGGTACAAGGCTGTTCAGCAAGAGTTGGAGGAAACCAACAGCGAGTTCGAGTCTCTTGAGAAGAGCTTGTTCGAGGCCAATACCAAGGTGCAACGCTTGACGGTGCAAATCGAGTCTAGCCAGAACGAGATTGCTTTCCTTCGAGAGGAGCAGGAAGTCGATAAGATTCGCATTGGAGATCTGGAATCCGAGTTGAAGACCTACCACATAAGCCTGCATAGTGAGAAGGAGAAGACCAGGGAACTCGAGCAACGACTGGCAGACGAAAGGCATCAACGTGAGGTCGTCGGCAGCAAGGAGAAACAAGAGGTTCAGCGCATCATGAATGAACTGAATCGGGAAGCGTCATCAGCTAAAGAAGAGGCACGACGTTTGAAGAAGAGCCTTTCAACGCAAGAGATTGAGGCTAACACTTGGCGAGAACGATTGACGGATCTGGAGAATAACCTCCGTGAAACCCTCGGAGATCTCAGCGGCAGTCGAACAAGCCTGATCTCCAACATCATGAAGCTTCAGAAGGAACTTGAATCCACTGCGCTCGAGTTGGAGAGCGTACGACAACAACTGGACGAGAAAGAGACGGTTCTTCGTAATCGGGATGCTCTTTTGGAAAGCCATGGACTTGAATCCCGCAAACTCTCTGAGCTCCTGGAACGTGAACGACAAGCTCGCAGGGCTGACAAGCAATCATTTGAACAATCACTCAAGTCCCATCAACAAGCATCACGGACTATCACCCAGAGCAACTCTCGCATCACGGACCTAGAAATCGCTAGGAATCAGGATCGCAAGCGATTCACATCTCTCGAACAGCAATTCCGTGAGCAGCTCAGTGAGCGCAACACATTGTTCCTTACTGTCTGGAAGAGACTTTCTGCGCTCTGTGGTCCCGATTGGGCTCATTCAAACAGCTTGATCAATGGCAACTTACCAAGCCAAGAAGTCATCGGCAATATCCTCTTCTGGCCTGGTTTCAACCGGAATCTGATGCTTGCCATCAAAACTGTCGAAGGGGTGGTTTCAGGTTTCAAGGGTCGTGTCAGAAGCATCGAGCATGACTTGACCAAGCAGTACCACAACCTTGAAAGCGCCTTTGCCCAGAGAGTCCGCAGACTCGAACGGGTCGAGGAAGCCGTCAAGAACCTACGCAATGGACGTGGCCATTCAAGTTCGTCTCCCGAGATTAGCAAATTGCGCGGCGAAAATCGACTTTTGAAAGCAGAGATCAACCTACTCCAATCTAATTCTCGTGCCCATGGATCTTCCTCTGCGACTACTGCGGCTGTATTGGCCTCCGGGTCTCGGTCTCCATCGATTGGTTCTCCCGCCGACCTTGAGCGTTCGTTGACGCGCCAGAACTCGACATCAGGAGCCAGCGAGAAGCCACGCTCTGATAGAAGTATCGCACGCCACTCCACAGGCCTGCCGCAGCCTTCTCACTCCTCGTCGACGAGCACATTGACCAACAATGTGGTCGCGATGACACATCGCACACGCGGTAGCGGTGGAACTGGAAATTGGGACGGGGATAACGAGAAATGGATTCACCGTCTGCATGAGCTAGAAAAGCGACTGAAGGCCGAGCGTGAAGGCCGTCTTCTCGACCGCAATGGAGCACGCAAGCGATTGGAAGAACGTGATGCCGATATCAAGAATCTCCAAGATCAACTGCGACGAGAGCGCACCCGACTTGGACTTGGCTCCCAAAAGACCATCACGGAGAATGGACGCAATCGCCCACAGACCTCCGATGAAGCCCCGAGCTCGAGTGAAGGGGAGGGCTTTACGGTAGATATCGAAGTCTGAACTGTGTTTTGCATTGATAGGTTGATGCAGTAATGTCTTTGTGTACTATATACCCTTCTTCGACCTTCTTTTTTTCGTTTTTGTTCGCTTTTCTGTTGCATCTTGCCTGCACTCTGTCTTGCGATGTTCGGGATTACGATGATCATGAGAGGCGTTGGACTGAATTGGACTGGACTGGATCCGATCAACTTTTTTTTTCTTACCCTTCTTCTCTTGTATCTCTATTCAAATACAATTTTATTGCATGGATACACGTTTTACTATTCGTCTAAATGATATACATAACCTTGATATCTACCGCAGCGAGACCTTGAGTGAGAAATCCACAATCCCAGTTCCCTGGTGGATAGAACTGGTCGACAGAATATCCACATCCGGGCATGTATAAGCCGCAGCATTATCCTCCGTCAACCCACCACTAACCTCAATCAAAAACGCACGCCCCTTTCCAGCCCACTCCTTCTTAAGCAACCTCGCCGCCTCCCGCACTCCCTCCGGCGTAAAGTTATCCAACATAATAATATCAGCCCCAGCCCCAATAGCCGCATTCGCCTCCTCAACACTCCGACACTCAACCTCCACCTTCGTCGCAAATCCACCCGCACTCTTCGCAGCAAGCACAGCCCTCGGAATCGCCGCAGCAATAGACTCAATCGAATTCGGATCAAGCCCCTCAACACCCCCATCCGCCGCGGCACGGTTATTAGCACAAGCCCACACATGATTATCCTTCAGCATGGTCATATGGCTAAGATCATGACGATGCGGATCCGCGCCACCGACAAGAATACCGTACTTCTCAACGACGCGGAACCCGGGCGTCGTCTTGCGTGTTCCGGCCAATATGCCCTGCCACCCCTCGGCGCGGAGCGCGGACAGCATGGAGGCGCTCTTCGATGCGATGCCCGAGCAGCGGGCGAGGATGTTTAGGGCTACGCGTTCGCCGAGGAGGATTTTGCGGACGGGTCCGCGGACTGTTGCGCAGTGGTGGTGTGGGGTGAGGGTGAGGGATTGGCCTTCTTTTATGTGCCATTCGACTCTGTTGTAGCGTATGTTAGTTGGGAAGATTTTCCATGCCGACGGTGCGGCATAGATTGAAGGGAAACGTACTCGCATCCAAGCTGTGAGAAAACCTCATCGACGAAGGGGATGCCGGCGATTATTCCCTAGTCGCATTGTATAACAGATCAGCCTGGGCCTTAACTCACAACGCGGGTTTAAATTGATTCCCTTCCTTATCGGCCTGGTCTGGTTGCCGGTTGGTTGGTAACTCACCTTGCTCTTCCCCAGTAACCGAGCTTCACCCTCTGACTCGCCGACGACGAAACCGCCATAGTCCAGGCTGGGACAGTCCTCCTCTAGCCAGTCGGTGATTTGGCGTTTGTAGTTGCCCGGCAGTAGATGCCTAACATCACCGTATGTTGCTGCCATAGTGTTGAAATTGAATTAACTGTTGCGTGGGCTTAAGGTGGGGGAGATCTGCGATGACTGCACTTTTGAATCTCCCCGCGCGGGGTCGGGGAGAATCGGAGATGGTATAGACGGGTCACGTGTATTTTATTATTCTTTAAGCCATTTGAGCCTTCAAATATTAATGATACTAGTATCTGGTATATTGTATTGATATGATATGGTTCATCTTAAATTGTTTTTATTTTAATTCGGGCCGGGAAAAAAAGGCCATGGTCGGGTTTCTGCAGGTACGGGTTCGTGCAACTCGGCAGATGGGATGGGATGGGATGGGATGGGATGGGATGGGGTAGTTTTATTTACTCAGCTCGGGCTATAGCAGTCCTAGGCTAGTACCATTGATATAGTACTAGTAATAGTCAGTCCATTGCCTGCATTTCGACTGTCCAATCATGCCTTCGTGCATGGTATAGTAGCCGTCTTCTGTATCAAAGCTCGTCCTTAGTAGGCTTGCTGCCACGCCCGTTACCGTTAGATGATCCTAACTGATAACCAATGCCATCTACCGTATCTCCACTACCAGGGCTCTCCTCACTCTGTACATCCTCCTTGATCTGTTTCCTTGCAACGGCCTTGAAAAACAAATTACGTCCAATCTCCGCACTTCCCAACAGATGAGCAGTGAAGATGACATCCTCGCCTTGATGGCTTAAATATACCTCAGGGTCTGTGGGAAATTGACCTGATTGCAATGGCAATTAGTACTGAACAAAAGAGAGAAAAGAAATCAACAAGCAATCACTTACCTTTACACTCCCCTCCCCCCCTCCCCAGCAAACAACCCCAACATCTCCAAAATAACCCCCAGGCGCAAAGAACACCACTCCCTCAACCACGCAAAACGACTTCTGCCCAGGATGACCCTCAATCCACCCCTGAATCGTGCTTGGCAACTGATCTAAATCTGCCCGCACAACACGAAATCCATCTGGGTGTTTGGGCATATTGTAGTCACCCGGATACGGCTGGCCCGTGAACAGAGCCTCAATCTCAGCCGCAGCCCATGCGATCTGCGGGTGGAGATTACTCGGGTCGAGCGGGTATATCTCGGCGCTGATATCTGTCGATGTTTCGCAGACGACGTCGTAGGGCGATTTTTTCACGGGTTGAGCGCGAAGGTCGCGAAGCTTTTTGGCTAGGTGTGTTGCGATGGGATCGTTGGCTTTTTGGGCTGAGGCGATGGAGCGCATGAGGTCGAGGGTCTGGTGCCCCCCGCCATAATTGATTGTGATATATTGTTCTTGTTCTTGCTCTGAGGCTGAGGCTGAGGATGGGGCTGAGGGGGTTGCGGACGCTAGTGGTAGCAAGGCCACCGCGAGTAGGTGGTGGATTCGCATACTTATTTTTTCTCCCCTTTGGTTTTTTTGGAGGGTTGATTTTTAAAGTGGTCTTAAAATGGGGAAAACATGAGCTCAAATATGCGCCCACCGGGGGCAAATCTCGCTACTAGCCTAGTTCGAGATTAGGTTACTATAAGGCAGCACCTGGGAGCCTTGCTGCTCTCCACAATATAGTATGCATCTGTGGATCATTTGAGCCCCGGCAATTACTACTCCACGTAAGAAACCAAATATCATAGTATTAAGTAGTATAGATGCAAAGGAGACATACTTGACTTGGAGCAATGGATGTAGCTACTGTAACATTAAGTAGCACTAGGCTCCAAAACATGGTGGGAAGAACAAGAGGAATGAAAGGAATGAGAGTGCCACTCTAAATTTCCACGATTCCCGCGATAACTGGCAAGTATATGGGCGATTTGAATGAGCCGGTATACCCCACTCGCATTTCACATGGAGATGATTCTTGATGTTGATAGTAGTCCCCCATTCCCGTGTCAGATCAGACATCATATGATTCCTTAGTTCCGATCTGATTAAACCGTAGTCTCGTATGACTCCTTGTCGGCCTTTCGTTTCATCCACCGACGATAGGCTACTAGGGACACGAGGCCGAGAAAGACAATGAAGACGATGACGAAGACCAAAACGACACCGCGATTCTTGTCTGCCCAGTTGCCTCGTTTCATAAGGGGCTGAAGATTGAAGGGACCTTCTTGTTCGATTGAGTTGATGACTGGCATTTCGGTGAAGTGATAATTCCCTGTTGGGTTTCAGCCCAGCTACTCTCGGGCCAGGGGTTTTGTGGGTTGCGGCAGAGTGGTTAACGTAACCGTAACCGATTGAGCAGTCTCCGAGTGTGTTATCGCCAATGGGAGTGATTGTTTAGCTGCGAATTATATGTTAGAGGAAATGTTTTTCTGGAAGGTGATCGTTTACTGACGCTGTCCAGCAAGACCATTCAAGATCAATCGACACCGGATAAGCAAGAACGAAGTGAAAGGGCAGTTGCGTGACGTGATGTGTGAGGGGGTTTCCCAGACCAATGTTCCTGACAATGTCAAGAAATCAATAGTGGGAAGACTTCGTAGGTTGAACAAAAGCACAAAGAGATTCGTTGTTGACGTTGATGTTGGTGTTGTTCAAGATGGGGAGTCACGGTAATGGTGAGGTAGGTATGATGATCGAGAAGGAACGTGCGATAGTGAGAGGGTAATTAGTGACGCTGCTGGTTCCTGCCGAAGAAACGGGTACCTTGAACTTTGTTGGTGAAATTGATAGCACTCAGTGACCTAATGGGAGTGTCACTGCTGGGGTCACTTAATCGGTGTAGTCATAACAACATTCTCGTCATCACAATAGTCCAAAACGGATCTGCCCTCATTCAGCAAGTGTTTGGTTGAATGCTGTAGTCTATACTGGAGTTTCTGGCTATCGTATATATAGATAGTATTTAGTATGGATCCTGCAATTATATTAGTAGAGCCAACTAAGATATCGCAAAGCAAAGCAAAGCAATACAGGCCGCAAAGGAAAAGGCCGGAGATCCCCAAATGAGAGAAAGTTGATAAAGGAAAACAAAGAGAGAGTATCGCAGAGCAGCAATGCATGCCACAAAGCAAAAATCAAGATGTTTTCAAAGAAAAGAAACATATGCTGCAGGTGGCAGAACCAAGAACTTAACCCAACTTGAATATGTATATTTTAGGCAAAAGAGTAAAATCATGATAGTAATACTAAATACCACTCAGTAGATGCTCATTATCATTAACCTTGGAAAACCATATTATTATTACCATTAGGCACAAGTGAGCCGGCGAGGCTTGTTATGTCTACTAGTAGCAGATGCGTTGACCTGACTCACATCCATCGAGCTGTATATCTGCTATACAATTGCCTGGCTAAAGTCCCTTTACCGTACATTCTGAATTGCCTATATCGAGTCCTTTATTGAATTTTGCGATCACAAGTTGGTACAATCTATACGTACGACATTATGCCGTTTATGCAATTTTATCTACATCACTCCATACTTGCTTTAAGGTTAGCTGTAACATCAACAGAATGACGCACTACATTCTAGAAACTATAGCCTTAATCCATATTTCCATCTTGAATCTCATACTTCTCGAGAACGGCTTCGGATGTACACAATTCCGTATACCCGTGTTCCGTCTGCTCGGAATGTAAAAACCCTGTGGCGGCCGCTGGCGGCCGCTGACTCACACAGTATCCACAGATAAAGGATCTAGCCAGAAACAGGCGGCCAGACCACGCTATTCAATAGACCCTAGCCAAGAATAAGCTAGCAGTTTCGGACAGTAAAAGCCTCAGCCTCAGCCTCAACGGATGTACCTACATACGGTATTCCGTTCTCCGCATTCATTCTATTCTATGGACATGAAACAATAACAAGGCTATAGTGCGAGTCCAAGCGCCCACGCTATTCATTAAAGTCACGGTGGTAAAGTACAAAACCGGGCCGATCGGTCGATCTCAGCATAAAATTATACACTATTCACGCCAAGCATCCATAACGGACCTGCCAGACTAAATAGCGCATTGAAAAGAAGGTTCGGGACTATGTAGTATGGATATAGTAGGCATTTTCAGCCATTTTCAGCCCCAGCCACACACAGACGCGCACACGACATGGACACGGGAGAATGGCTCCGATCCCGACCCGTTTTATGCCCCCGTTCTATCGTTCTATCCCACGTTCTAGAAAGCCAAGAACGAACCCACAAACTACTACGTCAGGAAAGGGGATGAAATCCAAACCCGCGTGGGCGGGACAGGGACAACCTAACCTCCGGAAAACGGCAGACGGCAGACGGCAAACGGCACAGACCCGATCTGATACCTCGTTCGTACGGTACCAGTGGTATGTACAGTATGTAATAATGCTCCATCGAGCGATTTTGGATTTTCTTTGGGCTTAGCCTGTTTTCTTCTCGAGTTGATGGATTATATATTCCGCCCTATATGTAGTACTAGTAGTTCCATTTAGGGCGTAGGCGAGGAGACTCAGCAAGTTTGTGTGTGGGAGTGGGGCCCTTCTTCTTCAACGCTGAACGAACAAAAGCCACTTACACTCCAGAGCTTCTGCGAGTACCACAGCAAAGCAGGTTCTGCTCCTATATCCATTTATCCTTTTCTAACTTAAAGTAGCCTGTAGGCCAGGGAGGTTACCAGAAAAGTAAAAAGTACAGCATGGACCCCCCGCTAGAGGTTAAGCAACGAGAATAGATCGGGTCCTGTCTCTCCGGATAGGGTAGCCGTTGCGTAGAAGGCGTATCGTGTCAGCAGGATTTATGGTGAACAATGTACAAGACCATACTACATTCGGACCTATCCAATGCAGCTAAATGTGTATTTCAAATGTACACTATCGGAACCGACCGATTATCGTATGATCCCATGTCCAAATGAGTGTGAAGTAGCATGGGCCCAGAGTACACAGGGGGGCCCAAAAAAGCCAAAAAAAACAAGTAACAAAAACACCTTTTCCAGATTAGGGTTTGTCAGCGGTCAAACTCTTTCTACCTCCACCATACTCGTACATAGCATAGCGTACATAGCATAGTACACCCAAGATCGGCCGCAAGTGGAGCGGACCCTCCGAATCGCCAAATCGGTCTGGGAATGGCTCGCAGAAAAGCTGCCGAGAAGCCGCGGATCGGGTACTCGTACTTGGGCTGTCACGGAGATAGCAGAGGCACTTTCGGCTCCCGATACTCGGCAGCGTTTTGAACCGTCGGGTCCCATCCACGGAACCGTGCCTCGGCAACTTTAAGCTCTCATACGAGTAGCACATAACTAATCAGTGAAACTTGTCGGTGGCAACACTGTATACATCATTCCTGCATACGAAGACGCAAGAAGAATCAATCATACATGTGTAATTCACTAAAAAGAGTTTTTTGACAGAAGAATGCTCCACAAAGGCGAGCGAGACCCTTCCTTTCCCAAAACAAGAAATCGTCACAAAAGGATGAATTCTAGATCCACAGCCGATCATGACTCGGTGAATTCTCGGCCTAGACCCTTATTAAGGTACATACATAGGTGATGAAGTGTATCCACATTCAATGCGATGCGATGCAATGCGATACAAACTTTAATCCTTCCACGCCTTGTACACATTCTTACAACCAAGGACCTGCCCCTTCTTCAAAAGCACCATATTCCTCCACTCAGGCTCATTGACAGCATTAACAAAGCGACTAGGTTCAACGCAGAAGCCCGCGCCCTCGGTATGCGGCGCAGCGCCATCAATCGAGGGCACATTGATATACTTACCCGTGTAGAACTGGAACGCAGGCTCGGTACTGTGCACTTCCAGATGCAGGCCCGTGCCGGCGTTGCTGAACTGGGCAAGTTGGCGAAGGGGCAGACCGCGGGTATCGAGCGGGATTTTGGCGGGGTCAGTTTCCATGACGAAGACATCGTCGATGTGGGCTCCGACTGCTTCGAGTGTGAAGGGCTTCGTCACGTCTCGTGGGAATTTGGCGATGTTTCCTTCTGGGATGCCAGTTGAGTCGAGGGGGAGGTAGTCGGCTGTGGCTAGTTGGGCGGTTGTGCCGTCGATGGTGGGGCCCGAGCCGATGTTGAAGTAGCTATAATGGGGCGAGTAAGTATCGTCATCGAGGATAGAAAATAAATAGTTGTAGGGGGAGGAGGACTAGCTAGCTAGCTAGCTAGCCAGGGTGCTACTAAGACGAGCGGGGCAGAATGCGTATACGTACCTATGGTTGGTGATATTGACAACCGTCTCCTCACACTCATCGCCAACAAATTCCACCTCATACTCCGCCGTCAAAACGGTCTTCGCCTCACCCTCCTTGCTGGCAGTGTACCAGACACGCACCTCGACGGTACCGGGGTATCCTTCCTCAGCATCCTGGCAGCGGTACTTGAACAGGAGGGCGTCACGGCCATTGCGCTGGACAGTATGCGGGCCATCGAAGACACGCTTTCCCCAACCAGTCGGGCCTCCGTGCAGGGCATTGGGGCCGTTATTCTGATTGAGCTGATACTCGCGTCCATTAAGGACATCTATGTGGCCATTTTTGATGCGGTTGGCGACGCGTCCGATCGTGGCGCCATAGTGTGGGGTGTTGTGCTTGACGTAGTGGTCCTGCGTGGGGAAACCGAGAACGATATTCTTCCCGCCGACGCGGAACTCTTGAATAATCGCGCCGAGGGGCAGGAAGGTGAATTCTGCTTGTTCGGGGGCGGGCATTTTGCGTGTGTGATGGATGGTGTGAATATGTTTGATTGTAAAGGGGGGAACTACAAGGGGTGGTGGTCTTGGTGGGATGGGGAGTTTAAGGATCTGTCATGACGTTGGAACCCCACAATAGGACGGAATCGCCCACCGGGGATAAATTGAAGCTGGGAGGCGGCTACTGTAGGTGAGATGGGGGCCCAGGGCCATGTTTAGCCTAAACACGAATAAATAGTAGGAAAGGTACCACCAGGTGGTGCCACAGGAATTTTTCTTCAATTGGATTTGTTTTGGTTCTTAGGGTTTGATCTCCCCGTGACGTTGGATGTGAATCTCCACGCGCCTGAGGCAGTCCAGCCTCAAGCTAACTAACTAGTCAGTTAGTTAGTTAGCCTTTGTCACCCTAGATTCCCTAGGCATCAATTAACAGCTGCATAAGCGGAGCGGAACCAGGAGCGCGGCGGCCGACATCCACGGGGTCATGTACATCAAACCCTACTGTCGGCGATCAGCTGGGGCCCCTTGATGTGCTTGGCCGCATCTTTATCCCAGTGAGGCTAGGATAGTCCTTTAATTACAGAGCTCGGAGCGGAGTATAAATGTACGAAACACCGCAGATGCATACACACAGCCTTACATAGAAAAAATGACATGTGTCCCCCCCCCCGGGTTTAAGGCAGGGCGGCATCCGTCTCGGAGAGAACGGGGTTCCGGTGACCGAAGGAATATCCTACCCCGGACTTGACCCCTCCATTGTTGCCGGGCATACATACGAGTAGTAACTAATGTCACTTAACGGTGAATGAATCAGCGATGGGGCTGTGTCTGTGTCTGTGCCCCTGGCCTGGGCGCCTAGAAACCGCCTAGAGCAATGCCTCTGCCAATCCTTCTAGAAGAAGGCATCAAGATTAAAAGTATAGGTTGAATCCACAGTTCACAATGGCGTTCAAGTTTGTATTTTTGCTCTGTCGTATACGCGTATGTATTGCGACGTAAGAAATGCTCTAAAGGGAAAGGGAAGGGGAAACGTGTTTGTTTACTCATATGTCAGACTCAGAAGAGCTCACCGTAGAAGCTCTAGCTTTTAAGTTAATTTACAACACAACAACACCATATCCGCTCCTACATAAGCCTTAAACTACTGATGTGTTCGTACGCAAGTGGAAGTACCAGTTGCGGAAAATCGAATCCCGCACTCACGAATCAAAGACTTGCTCCGCGGAGCATTGGGCCCGATTCGGTATGTCGGCTGTTCGGCGACTTATTGAATTTAAAATTTTCGAGACTCCGTTTTTTTTGGTCCGCGTCCGCGGCCTTGCTCACGTAAGTCTTGTAAGGCCCGGACGGAGACAAAAAAAAAGGAGGTGTGGAGCTCGTGCTTGTAGGTTCCACTTGGGTAGATTCCGCTGACTCAAGGTGGATTCGATTGCATGCACGAAGGAACAGGTCTAGGTACGTGGAGAGAAGAGAGAAACGGGAAGATGTGAAAAGGGATAATTGATGCGGATGGACTAATCGCTTCGATTTCTGTAATCCCCAAAAAAGGTCAAAGGTCAAAAGTCAAAAGTCAAATCCACCCAAGAAAATCAGTTCGTATAATCAATCGGTGTTGGAAGTTTAATCATTATAAATATGATGCAGCTCGGCCGGCCTAAACGATTGCTATCTCCGCGCTGACAGAACATGAATCATTCTGGAAGCTGCATTTGTCAGTTCGAAAGTGGAGCCCCAAATCGCGGCACCAAACGCCGGTTCAGTACAACGTTGCCAGCCCTGCAGATTCAGAATTCAGAACCGGGCGCAAGAGATCAGGATAGTGTAACAGGGGTAGTAGGAGTGATCTTCAATATTCCAGGAAAAAAAAAGTTGTATTGGAAGAAAATCAAAGAATAGAAGGGACGCCACACACGAAACCGTTTTGAAACTCCAGGAAAAGCCCCCACCACCCAAAAATGAAATAAAAAAAGCCCCAAAAACTGTACAGGGATGATTAGGAGTTCCAATCGCTCTCGAATCCGAGAAAAAGCCGGGGGATAATAGCCCCATATCGCAATAAAAAAGAGGAGAAGAGAAGATTGAACAGACAATAGAAAAGAAGAAGAAAAAAAAGGGTGTAACGTAAAGACAAAACACCACACCAGAAGAAAAAGAACATGTATAGTGTACATGCATCACGTCATACGGCGTTAAGGTTGATTTCCAAAGAAAGAAAGAGCACGAACACGAGCACGAGATTGAGCATTGAAAGCCAAGTTCAAGCTCAGATCGAAGTGATCTCCGTCGGATTGGGATTGAGGAACTGATTGAAGTCATCATAATCCCCACCAACGCAGTTCATCGGCATTTGATTAAACATCGGCGACTGCATGCTCTGCTCTTCAAACTTCATATTTGAATAATCGGCCGTACTCATGAGATCCATCTCATCAAAGGGATTGAAACCACTATTATTGTTCCATTGAGGGGGGGCCTTGCAACGCTAGCGGATTCACAACGCCCTGCATGGACAACGCATATTGTTGATTCTGCGCCTGCACGGGTGTTTGGGGCTGGACGTTGATGGGGACAGGTTCGGGCTTGACGTGCGCACGGGTCGAGGGGCTATAAGCCGGCGGCGTTGGGGGCATAGTCTGTTGGGATTGCGAGAAGGCATCGGATGAGTAGCGGGAGCGAGCGATGGGCGAATGAGCCTCTGATGACCCGTCGGACGATTCCTGACGTTGCATCCCGTTGCGCCAGAGATCTTGCTGCATGGCGTCGGGGTTTTCTTCGAAGTGTTCGCCCTTTGTGTGGTCCAGGGCGCCAAGGCGAGTCAGCAGGTCGTGGGTAAGCGGGTGGCCGTTGGGCTCGGTCTTGAGGGCATCGCCAGGCCATCCCTCGCCTTCGAGGTTGCGACGGTAGAGTTCTTGGAGGCCGTTGACTAGCCAAGCTTGTTGTTGTTCGAGCATCTCAACGTATCTAGAATGGTAAATGGAGGGTTAGCTTTTATAGATCGCACAAATGACGTTTATCAAGGTTGCGCAGCTTACCCCTTTGGGTACACTTTATCGTGGGCTTTCTTTCGCTCGCCGAATACGCAGACTGCGTTATCTGCTCGACAGCGTGAACATGGGCTTGATCCATCGCACTTTTTCTGGTCAGTCTTTGATTTTGTGATGACTGACCTGGACCATGTCCATGTCCATGTCTATCTCCATATCCATTATTCATTTTGGAACATACCTTGGATTTCTTCAGACGACACCGATCGCATGCTTTACAGACACGCTTGCGCACGTTGTCGGAATGCGAGTCTGGCGTTGATTGGCGAGCTGCCATGATGTGTGTATGTGTATATTAAGGTGAATGGGAAAGGAATCGGCGAGAATAGAAAGCAAAAAGGAGTAGAAGAATATTTTGTGTGTCCTTCTTTTTCCTTTTTCTTTTTTTTTCTTTGTGGCTCCCGAGCTATACTTCCAGATCCGGGCAGTAGCAAATGATCGACGTCAACCAGTCGATGATATGATCTAATGACGATGTCGTATTGTAACCATCAAATCAGATGGATGGGAATTGACTTTGAAGAAAAGATGTGGTAAAAGAGTTTCAGGGTTTCCGAGCTTTAGAATTTGAAGGTTGCAGGGTGGTCATATACTAGTCATGTTTTCCAGGAGGGGGAAGATTGGAAGAAGGGGGGGGGGGAGGGTCCCTTTTTAGCTGGGCTTTGTATTCGAGGGATTTAAGAGCATATCGTACATACAAGTTAGAAACAGCACTCGATCGGGGATCAAATCATAGACCATGTCTATGCAGGATCCACCTGCTTGGTGATCACAGGGCCGGATTTTTTTTTTCCTTTTTCTTTTTTTTTTTCTTTGCATTGATTTTTCATGCGTTTCGTTGGTAACGGTATTTTATTCTTTCTGATTACTCTATCGAGAGGGTGGGGAATAATCAGCCTGGAAGACTCGGCATTAGAGAGCAAAGTTCACGGAGGACGGAGCTTCCACTCGGCGCTCGGAGACTTCGTCTGACGTATATCCGAATGGACTGGACTTCCGGCCACTCACACTTCCACCTGGGCAGTCTTATTCACACAATTGCTCCTTTACTCACGGCCGTACCCTGTTGGGCCCACGTTCCCCCCCCCTTTCCAATAGTGCAGTAGCAGAGTACTAGTAGTAGATCATGACTTTATTGAATCATTATGATTTGGATAATTTAATAAATTACCCAATGTCCATTGAAATTGGGGAGGATGGAACTGCTGTTTCACGTCTTGGCGGGGTGCATAAGGAAAGTAATGCGTATAACCGGGAATGCACTACAACTGACCCCGGCAAGGTTCTGCCGCGACAATTACACCAGGTTCATTTTATGAAGACATTCAGTTAACCAGCATAATTATAGCTGTTCCCTTTTACTTTTACTTTTACTTTTACTTTACTTTTTACTTTCTATTACAGAATAATAATGGAAGTATTAAACGATCGACAGCACAATGATCACCAGTGTACATACACATCGTGATTCATCACCGCCCGCCCTCCAATAAGATGGTGGGCCACAGGCGGGCGCAACCCCAAGTCCATGACGTGACCATTTTCTTGTTTTTGTCGCCGAGGCTGGTCTAAATATTCGAGTTGCTGGCCATCTAGCCCATCTCCGACAGGCTGGATATATTACATACTTATGTACAAGATGAACTGAGGCTGTGGCGCTAGGTCCACGACAAGCTTTTGATCGCGCAACGGTATAACGGAAACAGAAGCAGAAGCAGAAGCAGAAAGACGAGTCAGCCCGCACTTGCCTTTTCTTGATGATGATTGATTACTCCGTATACGAGTACTTACAGAGGACACAATTGCACCGCCTACTGCCAACAAGATCAACATCAGCACCAGCCTCTCCCCCTCCCCCTCCCCCTTGGCCTTGGCCTTATTATAGCTCAAGCTCGTGGCACATCGTTTTCCTTATCGGTGCGATGCGATGCGATGCGAGTACGAGAGTCGAGTCCCAGCCTAAACGCAAGCCCCAAGCCCCAGCCGCAGCAGTCGTCGTATTCGTGTTCCTTCCAGGCACCTACAATAATCAATAATATGCTCGTTACTAGTACCCCGTACTAGTACTAGTATAGTCAGGAGTTCATGGTATGAATTACTTGGTAGTGCGCTATGACTTCATGCCAATCTCTGCCCTCTGCTTGGTATTGGGCTGGAATACCGCTTTGAGTAATCCCTGTTTTGGGGAATCGAATTGGAGAATTGATCATGTACTTACTTACAGAGCTTACAGAGCTTACATACTCACTCTGTAAGCTCTGTAACTAAGTTCTCCAAACCACGTAATGTGGAGAGATTGGCGACTTCTCGAAGATCCAGACCAGTCTCCAGTCTCCAGATCCAGTGTCTGACCCTACTCTGACGGTCTGACGTTGAAGTGCCTGATTGCATTTGTCTGCGTTTTCAATGGTTGACCTCTTATCATGAACCATGAATCATGATGATCATGATCATGAATAGTACTGGGCCCATCGCCTCGGTCTCGGGCGCGATCGCGACGGAGGACCATTCCGGGCCATTCTTCCCAGTTAGGTCAAGAGTGCGATTGTCCATGTTTCGTCCATGCATGAGCCTTAGTTGAACATGGATAGCTTGGGATCTGACATCTCGACTGTCCCTCTTCCATTGGCATATACTAATACACTAATACACTAACACTCACACTAACAAAGTAATATACTAACTAGAACTATATATAACTAAATACCAGATATAACATGTACAATGGGGTATATAAGCTGGGCAATACAGAAGAAAACCGACAAACGAGAAGCGAAAAAAGAAGGACACACACAAACACACACACACAGAGAGAGAGAGAGAGAGAGAGAGAGAGAGGCTATGCCGAACAGCAGCCACATCCCGACCGGCATCCGCAACCCAAGCAGCACAACCGGCGGATCCAACTTCCCCGATGCTCGGCCTCGTCTTTCTCTTTCTCTTTCTCTTCCTGATCAACTGATGCCCCGCGCTTGGCGTCTTCCTCCATACCATCATCGGCCATCTTCTTCTCGGCGGTCTTCCAGCCTCGGAATCTGAAGAATCGACTTCGTCGCGATTGAGCTTCACGGGCGCCAGCATTGGCCCCTATCGGTGGAAGGGCCGTGGTATGAACGGATTGACCAGCGCGCGAAGGAGGCCGAACGGGTGCGCCCTGCATATTATGTTGTCGGCGAGCTTGAACGACGCGACGGACAAGTACTGTTTTCGTTATTAGTCTACTGAACCAGCCCAAATAGGCAATGCGACTGCGGCACAACACCTACAAGCAAACGTTTCCTCAATATTGACCATCTCACGCGCACTCGTTTCCATAAACCCACAACCATTCTGACGAGCATATTCCAGCCCATCGCGCGACGTGACGGCACGCCCGTCCTTCAAATCACACTTGTTTCCTGCAATAATTTTTACCGGGGGAGGCATGCCGATTTGAATACCCGTGGGATTGGGACCGAATTCTTTTCGCAGTCGCTCATTGTCCTCTACGCGCTGCTCGGCTTCCATCTTGATGAAGTCCATGAAGTAGTCCAGTGTTTGCAGGCTTGAAGGGTTCGTAATGTCGTAGACGAGCAAGAATGCATCTGATTTCATCGTTGAGTCGGTCCATAGTCCGCGGTATTCTTCTTGGCCGGCTGTGTCGGTTATGGAGAGGAAGTAGGGGAGACCGTCGACGGTTCGGGTGACGGAGTAGGAGTCCTCTGGGGGTTGCGCATTAGTACGGTATTGGCGATTGTTATTGCGATTGCGATTGCGATCGTGTGGGAGATGAGATAGGATAAATAAATACCGATAGTTGGGTCATATCTATTCATTCATGCATATTAGCAAAGCTTGTTCTGTTATAGACAGGGGTCAGGTTCAGGGTTCAGGGGAGTGATACTCGTGGATCCATTGACTGCGGACCAGCCGCAAAGTGATGGATGATTTGCCTGTCCCGATTTGATCAGATCTCGATCGCGAAATATTCCATTGCAATGGCACCGAATCAGGTCCATTGGAGATTCCCAGCAATTGAAAGAAGGTTGCAGGAGCTAAAGGGACGTACCGCATCCACCGTCGCCGCAGATGGTGATTGAGATCTTGTCCGCCATCGCGTGGTCAACCACCGATGCGCGGCACCTTTCGAGCTCGACCGGAGAGACCTTCGCACTGGTACTTCGTATAGTATAGTATTAACGAGGCAATGGGTAAAAGAGGGGTAATGGACAAAAGTACCAGGCAAAGGCAAAGGCAAAGGTAAAAAGAGGGGGATCAGATCAATTCAGGGGAGAAAGAGAGGTGTGAGAGGGAGAGGGAGATGCAAAGAGGAAGAAGTTGGGGAGAACCCCCAATAATAAGAACATCATCACACCCTCCCGACCTCTTTCTTTCTTGTTTCTTTCTTCTCTCTCCTCTCTCCTCTCTTTGAACTTGGACAAAGTCTCTGTCCCCCTTACAGCATTGTTCAACTATATTCCTTAGATCGCACCAAACCTTATCGTGGAACTCTTAGTCTTCCCCAGACTTGTTCTTCATCATCCCAGTCCCCCAGTGCCCTTGTGCGGTGTTTTACTCCATCGCCTTACTGAGGGTCGGTGTATTCTACCGATCTCATTTCGCCATTTTACCCCACCTGTGGTTGAACTGTCAACTGCCTGTGATATTCAAGCAAAGTACCCGTTGTGAGGAGTCCATGCGTCGTGTACCGTCCACTGGCGCGAATGTCTTGGAGTATTTTGTGATAGATCGACTGGGCCCCCAGCCGTCTTTGCGTCCTTTTGACCCAACTCCCCCTCCACCCGACTTCAACCACCTTTGTTTGACCTGGACACGGAACTAGTTTGCACTTGACAGATTTGATATCGAGATCGATCCATCAGATCCATCAGATCAGTGGTGTTCACCGCATACCAGAAACCACCACCCCTTGAGCATTTCCAAACAGACACAAGGACACAGAGAGAGCCCTGATCGAATCCATTGGCTGCCTACGACCCTCCAGTGGGTCCACAATGACATTTGGTGTTTGTACTTTTGTGAAAAGAGGAGAGAGAAATCAAGTTGGCACCTTCTTTTCTCCTTTGCGACCCCCAAGTCATTAGATACCAAGTCGCTGGCTCCCGGGGAAACCTACAAGCAAACTCCCAGATATATCATATCGCCTACCTACTCTTTTTTTTTTTTATCTTCAAGTGATCCTTGAGAGTGGAGTCTTGGTCTGACATTACTGGATTCCAACCCATTGGTCCCCTCTTTCCCGGGGCTCTGGGACAACTTATCCGGGCTTCTGCATTCTGGACCCCACGCAGGCCGAGGCCGCCTTTGCCCTTGTCCCCTTTGGCCATGGCTAACCCCATGAATAACTACTCCCTGGACTTCTCGACTGGTCGCGATGAATCAGAGGACCCGAGAGATAGTGTGCCAGGACACTTACACCCCTCTCTCACCTCCGGAGACCCCGCCCTCATGGCCTTCCCGAACCCGGGCAACTATGCCTTTGGAGCCGTGCTGCCAGAAGAGGACGATGAACTCCCCCTCCAGGCCTTCAACCGTCCACATGGTCCCCAGGGTGACCTGGAAGGACGTCTCTCCAATGTGATGCTGGCCTATGACTCGATCCCTAGCACCGTTTCAATGCCGATGAACCTCGACGCGAGTGGCGCGTTCGCATACGACATCCCGACAACCTACCCCGCGACTACGATGGGACTTGCACCATCGATGGACCAGCAACGACAACTCCAACAGGTCTACCCCCCGTTTCCCCAGCCCGTGCCACAATCGAATCAATACCTTCAGCAGCAGCAGCAGCAGCCGCCTGCGCCTTCTACTCGCAATGATCTCTATAATAGCACCACCACCGCCACCAACTCTACCGGCAGTTTTGACGACTCTGACTTCTCCCGAGGCAGCGATCCATCCCAAGCGCGTCAACCACGGCCTCTCCAGGATAGCCAGCGGTACCCGCAGTATAACCAGCCCACCCAACCTGCCCAGCCTGCTCAGCCTGCCCCTTACCGCGCGTCGCAGCCGGTGGCGATTCAGCCTAAGCAGCCGACACAGATCAAAGGTGAGTCGTCAACCTAGGATTAGGTCATGGACAGCTGGCCACAGGATATCAGACTAAAGCCTGTCCCGTACCTCAAGAAGACTATCAATCACCAGGGCTTTCCACGCCCGACGCTGCCAAAAATGAACATACCGGCATATATTCGAGCAGCGGCTTCGACATTCTAGGAGTTCTAGTACGTATCTTCGACTTTAATTATGCAGCAGCATAGTGGGATTTGAAAATTTAACGCCGCAATAGAGTCGAGTTTCTGTGCGCCCGAACCCTAAAATCAACATTGGAGCTGTCGATCTTTCCTGTGCTTTTGTGCTCTGTGATATCACACGACAGGACCACCCGATTGTCTATGTCTCCGACGCCTTTGAACGACTTACTGGCTACGCTAGAGACGAGATCGTGGATCGCAATTGTAGATTCTTGCAAGGACCCGATGGCAAAGTCGATGCTGGTGCCAAGCGAACCTTTGTTGATGGACAGACCGTCCATCGTCTACGGTCAACCATTCGTGACCGTACAGAGATTCAGGCTAGTATTATCAATTACCGAAAAGGTGGCCAACCGTTCATGAATCTGATTACCATGATTCCAATTCGATGGGATTCGGATGATTATCGGTTTTATGTTGGTTTCCAGGTTGATCTGGTAGAGAAGCCAGACGCCATTACAAGAAGGAATCCAGGTAAGCTTTCCTTGGTTGATACAAACCTCAAGTTGAACTTGTTATTGACCCCCACATTCAGACGGTAACTACACTATCAACTATCAGCGGGATCAACTTCCTCAATACATTGTACCCCCGCCTGATGTATACCGGCTCCGGCCAGATCTCCTCACCCAGTTCGGACATGACCAGGTTACTGCCATCCTGAATGCAGCTGGCGTTCCTGGGTCTGGAGTCTCACGGAACTACCTGGATCGCATCCTTGTTGAGAACAGCGACGACGTGATCCATGTTTTATCTTTCAACGGCGAATTCCTATACCTCTCCCCGTCTTGCCACAAAATCCTCGAATATGACCCAGTCGAATTGGTCGGCAAGACGCTATCAACCATCTGCCACCCAAGTGACATTGGGCCTGTGATTCGTGATTTGCGCGCTAGCACCACCCCAGCACCCGTCAGCGTCGTATACCGCATTCGTCAGAAGTATAAAGGCTACATGTGGTTCGAAAGCCACGGTGCCTGGCACATTGATCCCCAGCAAGGAAGAAAGTACCTCGTTATGACAGGTCGCCCAAGACCCGTCTACGCGCTGGACCAGATTGCTCAGTTGGGTACCTCGGCCGCACTAGCCGAGAATGACGTCTGGGCAAAGGTGTCTTTGTCTGGCGTTATCCTATTCATGACCACCAAATCAAAGCCAGTATTGGGACGTCCACCGGACGATTTCATCGGCAAAGGCCTGCATGAACTCATGGAACCCGAAGGCGGGCCGAATGCGATATCAGACGCCTTAGAAGCCGCAGCCAAAGAAACAGGCAACGAAAACGACGGCAAGAAGAACGACGGTAGTGACAAGAACCTCGAACTTCCTTCATTCAGACACCAGATGCGTCATAAGAAGGGCCACTCACTTTCCGCACACACCACAATCTACTCAGGAGATTCGAACCAAAAAGTCCGACCAACATTCCTAGTCATCCAGATCCGATTCGCTCGAGCATTCCCACCCTCCCCCACAGCCCTCGAAGCAGCCGCAGACGAAAATCTCGCAAATGCCCCCGGCTCATCAAAAGCAACCACACTAAGCTTCAAAGACGCCAATCCACCCCGCCAATACGGAGCCCTAGGCCAACGAATCCCAGACCTATCGTCTTTCATCGGCCTGAATGGGCTTCCCACCGGTAACCGCAGTATATCACCATCCGACGTGCCGGCCACGTTCTTCACAGAGCTCAATCCAACCCGCGGCTCAAGCTGGCAGATTGAACTCCGCGAGCTGGAGAAGCAAAATCGCACACTTGCCGAGGAACTTCAACGGCTTGTTAGTCGGAAGAAGAAGCGCAAGCGTAAGCAGACTGCTATTTCGGTTGAGAAGGCTTGTTCGATGTGCAGTACTAAGAATACGCCTGAATGGCGACGCGGGCCGAGCGGGAACCGTGATCTATGTAATAGTTGTGGGTTACGCTGGGCGAAACAAAATCGCATCCAGGCTCAGACTACTACTGATGGTGGTTCTACGGCGACGGTGCCAGCAACTACAATGGCTTGATTGAGTTGGCCAGGGTCAACTAACGAACGCGGCCGGCCACCGACAAAAAAAAGGGCGACCAATTTCAAGCATCATTAGCGTGGGTTTTCTTTCTGGAGTGACTTGAATACTCTGATTATGTTATTTGATTTGATCATTTCATTGCGAATATTGGAGGATTCTGGATTCCTCGTCCTGCGAGCGCGGGTTTTTGAGAGAAAGGAAGCTTATACCCCCGATCCCAGGCGATCAATTGGCAAAATAATTGTTTTCGAGAGCGTGGTTTCTTCAAGTTTCATATGCACACTCTTTTTTTATGACTTGTAATTTTCGTTCCGCTTGCCCATATTACCATCTCCAGAATGCATTTAGTCATTTCATACTATCACTCAGGAAGGTTTGTGATGTATATTCAAGTTAATTTATCTTCTATATCAAACGTCACGTTTCTTTTCTTATTTCCCACTGGAACATGGCAAATGAGTAGTAATTTCATGTATAAGTGTCTAATATCGTACAAATACCACCCGACAATCTTCTCTAGTACTATGCAAACCATTCTACAACCCATATACAAAATCAAAAGCGGCCCGGCCAGACCCTTCTTCTAGAACCCCTTGAAAACAATCCATCAAAACCAATACCAAAATGCAAATCAACCCTTCCTAGCCTCCAACCACATCTCCAAAGCCCTCCTCTCAACATCCTCAGCCTTCCTCCCCTTCTGCAAAATAGAAGCAACATCACCAAGCCCACGCTCTTCTAACGCAAACTTAACCTCCTCAGAACTCAACCCCCTCACACCACCACCCTCCCGAATCATCCCATCATCAATCTCAAGATAACGAATATACTTTCTCAATCTCGGCCTGTACACAGGTCCCATCAACACACTCCCCAAACGCGGTTGATGACTCTTAACGATTCCAAAAACAGCACTAGCAGCCAAAACGCCACTCGCATCCGCAGTCCGCGCAAACTCAGCATTCGCAAATCGAGTCGCCAGCAACGTCATTTCCTGCTCACTGCCGATCTGGATACTCGTCGGCATGGTGCCGGCCTGGGCCTGCTGGGCAGCCTGAGAATTGGCGTGCGCAGTAAGAGCAAGATATTTCCTCTTACTACCCGCTTCCCGCTCCTTGGTTATCTGGCTCGGAACCCGACATGTAGCCGGCGTAATCGCGGATCCGAAAATAGGTACAATTAACGGTGTGAATTCGCCGCAGATTATTAGTATAAGCGTGAATGGGATCATGCGACGGACGTCACGGGCTGAACGGCGGACGAGTTGGAATTGGCCACGGCCAAGGGCGGCAGCAGTAGCATTGTGGCTGTGGCTGTGGTTTCGGGGAGGAGAAACGGGTAGATAGATGGGTAGACCTAGTGTTTTGCGGAGCGGGAGTGAAGCGCGATAGTTCCGGAAGACGTTTTTCAGACCCGTTTTGTAGAAGGTTAAATATGCGCGGCCGGTGGAGACGAGGCGTTTTATTTTGTCGATGGAGGTGGATGAGGATGAAGGGTTTTGCGGGGGGACTTCGATTGGGGCGGGGAATGTGCTTATGGGGGCGTTTATTTCGCCGCGTGTTGGGGTTGTCACTGTTGTGTTTGTGTTTGTGTTGCTTGAAGTACTGCTTTGAGTGGTGGTGGTGGTGGTGGTCTTTCTGTTGGCGTGGTTTGCGGAGGTGGAAAAGAGTGACAGGTAGCACACGGAGGGATGTGGGTGCTGCAGGGCTGAAAGTTTGTAGGATTGGGACCGGAGTTGGGATCGGAGGGGGGGCGTGGCCCCGGGTTAAGAGTGCCATTGTCTCTGATCTCTTTTTTGGGGGGTTGGGGAGGAGATGCGGAGGAGAGAAGGTTCCGTGTTGGATGGCGCGTTGGACGGGGAAGTGTTTGGATCCTCAGGCAGAAATCGGCGGAAGCTGATGCCGAGGTTGAATTGATGGAGTAGAAGTAAGACACCTGAGTTATACAATTGAAGGTTGATTCTTTGGGAATTGCTAAATTTCATATTTCATTTGTTTTCATGTTGTGGCCTCGATCCAATTCAAAGACTGAGAATAAAGAGAAACTACTCAAACACTTCTTCAATACATCCTCATCTTCATCTTCACTTCTCTCCTATAGATCCACCTGCACGGCGACCATATTCTCCGACAAAAACCCAGTCACAAACAACCAAGCTTGCTTGCGACCACTACCACCCTTTGGTTCAATAGGTACAAGAACTGCCGCACTAGCAGTGCGAATCCGGCTGCTATCGTCCTCAAAAAGTAGCTTGTTTTCCCAATTACCTGTACTTGTCTGACGAGTATACCAAACCTGCAACGGATCTTTACCGTTAATATCATGTCCAGTCTGACCCAGGTAAATACCCTGCGAAACACCAGCAACAACAAACCCGCTCGCATCGTCGGACTCGGAGCGATACGGATCCGTGTAGTAGCTAGGGTTATCGGTGACAGTGTCGAAGGGGATAGTAGTGTGAATCGAGATAGTGTGATTAACCGCATGCAACTGGCCCAAATACAGCTCACCACCGACAGCACTCGAAATAACAATTTCATCATCGGATCGGCCTGCGCCGAGACCGTTATTGTTCCACAGCCCCGAGTGCGCGACAGAAGCATCCAGCCCGGCCGTCGCGTCCTTAGCCTTCATGTCCGAAATCCGAACATTAATGATATTAGACCACTTGGCAAAGGGCCAGATATCCTCGATAAGACGGAGCAATCCGTCGCGATAGTAGTGATCGTTTGTCACGTAGAATTCCTCCGGGCTCACAGCAGAGATATCATTCGGTGTGTAGACGAGCGAGTGGCGGATCGAGCGCACGTGCTGCACGGTCTTGGAGTGCAGGACATGGTGGAACAATTCGATTTGAGAACGGGCTGACTCGATGCCCTCGCGCTCTTTCTCGCTCGCCTGGACAAAGGCTGGGTTGGGCAAATGATTCACGGCGAAGATATAAACAGCGCCGGCATTCTTGGGGTCCGCGATGACGTCGATGCCATGTGTGACGAACTGGCCTTCGAAGTTCTCAAAGGTCAAGCGACTCGATTTCATAGTCTAGACGAGTAATATCCTCTGTTACTATCCTCTCTGCTCGGGGGAGGGGAGGAGGGGTCTTGGCGCGATATAGTAGAGTCCTCCGACATCGACAGAAACTCACCTTGGGGTCCACAACATGAATCGAACCCCGGCCCGCGGCATGGGGCTCGAGGTGTCCCAGGCCAGGAAACCAGTCAAATCTCGTTGTAATTTCATCTTCGCATGCAGTAAATAGCAAGTTCGCAGGGCGGTAGTGGTGTACGTCCTCGCAGTGAACGGTATCTTCTATAACAATTGGGCCTTGACCATCACCCAGGACAGTCGGCTTGGGCGTGAGGAAAGGTCCACCGATTTTCGAATAGTGAATCACAGTAGGTGCGAGCAAAGCTACCAGTAATGTGATCAGGCCTAGGAAGGCCGAACCGAGGAGAGCCATGAGGTTCAAGGCGGGATACTGTAGTGTACAACCGGGAGTGTTGGGAGGAATGGGGGAAAGGAGGAGGAGGGGGAAATGGAGGTTGAGACAACCCGAGGGAAAAAATACTCCGAGCTGTCTCCATAGCTAAAGTGAAATCAAATCAAAGTGCCTCGGAGTCTGGTCGGCAAGCAGACTAGATCGTCTCCGCTGGCGCGGGGAAGGTGGAGTCGGTGCGGGTCTGGGAAAGAGAATTACGCCACGGCGTCAGGGTACACTTGAAGAGAGCAATGCATTGAGACTATCCTAAGTTGACACGAGGGCTTTTTTTGGGTTTCGACATTTTCCAGGAGACCTGCTGCAAGATGGTAGTCTCGGTAGAAAGGAAAGTGTAAGAAGAAGCAAATCAAATTCCAAATATTGAAAGAGAATCATTATCAAGGCTGAGCCATAGCCGAAGTGGCCAGCAGAAAAAAAAGAAAAAAGAAAAAGAGTAGAGTCAACTGCATCCGTTTCAAGAATTCAACACGCAATTCTGTTTCCATTCTGTGTCGTACGGGGGTGTTATCTAGTGAATCGACTGTTTGGCCTCAAGGAACTCTTGGTCACTAGCATCTAGAACGTCATACTCCTCATCGGTGAGGAAGCCTGCGTCAGTAGAGGCATCCTCCAGGGTCAAGCTCTCCAAATCCTCAAGGGCATCACCCTCAGAGGCGGTTGACAGAGTCGGAGCATTGTGAGTGGAGGCCATGGCCTCATGGGTGCTAGCCTCGGGTGACTCTTTCTCCAACTTGGGGAAGACCATGCCACTGCTGGTCAGCTCGGTGTTAGCGGATGCAGACGACTCGGTCTCAGACTCGATAGACTTTTCCTGCTCATCAGACTCTGGGGTAACTGCGGAGACGCGAGTTGCCTGCACCTGAATGTCACACCACAGTCGGTGACCGATCGCCATACCGTTAGGCAACTTCAGTCGCCAGTAAGAAATAGCAGCACCCTCGCGTTGGGGAGTTCGGAGGGTCACACTGAAGTCAGCGCTCGAGCCAGGCTCCAGAGGAGCGGTCAGCTTGTTGCTTTCCATCGCAGAGCGGATCGCATCGATGCTGGACGGGTGGCTTGCATCGACATCGAACATGGTATCTCCACCGACAAAGCGGATGTCACAACCGACTGGCCAGGAATTAGGTCCCGGGTTGTAAAGAGTCCATGTCTGACGGAAAGTGGTATCAGGAGGCAACTTGGTGCCATCCGAGATGGCATCGCGAAGGAAGTAGGCCTGGTAACTGTCCGAGTCCACGGAAGCTTCCTCGTAAGCCTCCTTGTAGGCTGGAACTTCATTGGCAGGAGGCTCAGGAGCTGGCTCGGCCTTCTCTACTGGCTCGGTCTTCTCCACTTTGTTTGCGAACATCTCAACTGGCTTTTCAACCTTGGTAGGTGTCTCAGAAGGAAGATCAGCCTGGTCACCCAGATGGAAGATTCCAGTAGGAAGATCTTCCGTAACTGTGTTCACAGTGACAGAGCGGATGGGAGTCCTGAACTTGACCAAGGGGTGGGTGTGATTGTGAGCATTGGTTGGGAAGGCCTCGCAGTTCGCGCAGAAATCAACGTCATCGCAGACAGCACACTTGTAGCGAACACCCTTGATGTAGCTTTGGGCAGGCTTATTCTTGCACAGGGGGCCATCACAGAAAATGCCATAGTGAATGTCCATCTCATGCGCCGACTGGTCACCGATAGCTTCATAAATAGGAGCGAATCGGTGGCCAGGGTGGGACTCCTTGGAGCGAGAGGCACAGGCACTGCAGTAGTCCCAGTCTGGGCAGCTCAGACACTTGTGTCGGGTGCCAACAATGCGCTTGTCACAGCCATCACAGATAGCTGCATGCTTGAACTGACGACCTGGAAGACAGCGAGCCATGATCAGGTTCTTGAGGCAGAAATTGCGGTCAGTTCCAGAGGAGAAGGTGTGGGCGGGATGGTGACCATGCTTGTTCCTCAACAGACAACGAAGGCACAAGTCATAGTCTTCACAGTTCAGGCAACGGACCAGGTTGGTCTCATCGGCTTCTAGAAATTGCATTAGCGTAAGTCACAAATGATATTAACGAAAATGCAATCACTTACCACGGCAGCATCCGTTGCAAATTGGCTTCTCCTCACTTTCGGCAGTGAGATCAGAGCGAGTAGTCTTTGGAGAAGCGACAGCAGGGGCGGGGGCGGCAACGATAGGGATGGGAGGACCCGCCATCTCGGGGACGAGCTTGGTAGTAGGGAGAGGTGCGACTGGCGCGACAGACTTGATCTCTTGAGCAGACTGTTGGCGAGGGGGGATTTTCTCGGTGGTGCTGTTAGTGACGAGACCGCCCTCGACCACCCTCTTGATCAACCAGTGACCTTCTCCGCGGCAGGATGCACCGGCATCCACACACTGGGGGCACAGATCATAGTCTCCGTACTCGCAAATACTGCAGTGGTAGTGTTCATTTGCAATGGAACGACCACAGTTGTTGCAGTCAATGCAGAACATGCCACTGGGAGAGTTGTGAGAGATAACCGGGAAACGAAGTTTGTCCTGCTCCATATCGAAGTCTCGGTAATGGGGCTGATCAGAAGCTAGGGTGAGGGAAGGGGCGGTGAGGTTTGAATGGAGAGTAGTTTCGGATGTAGTTGGGAGAGTCTCAGGCTGAGCAACAGGAATTGGGGAACTAAGAACAGTCTCAAGATAGCTGTGTCGGGTGGGGAACGACTCGTCGGTGGAAGGCTGAGTCGATGCCGATGCCGATGCCGATGCCGATGCTGATGAATCGACGGTGGTAGCCTTGATCCGAAGCTTTGATTTGGCTTTGGCAGCTCTGTAGAGTTGTTTGTAGACAGCGAAGTTGTCACAGTCGAGACGCATGTAGGAGCCGGCGCTGTCGGAATAGCGTTCGAGGATGACGTTAACATCCGCTGGAACACCGAGGAGAGTGCGAAGCTAAACCCAACGCATCAGTTAATCAGCAATCAAAGCTTGGTTTGGTTTGAGATAATCAGAATCATGAGGAATATCGATCATCTCGATGGGCTATAGAGCTATCTGTGATAAGAGATTGGAGATCCCCAGCTGAGCGGACTGGAGGTCCGGTCGGAGCTCGGGTGGAGACTGAATCTTACCTTCTCTGGCAGCACCTGTGCTCGCAAGTCCTTCAGAGGAAGCTTGAAGCGACGGTTGCTATCGTTAAAGAGCACCTTGATAGTAACGAGATGCTCGGGGCCGGGATGAGAGGGCAGTGCTGGGGTGGTCATGATGACCGAGGTGTGTTGGAGGTGGAGAGAGAAGTATGGGGGGATACGAGGAGAGAGATAAGAGGCTCAAGGGGTGGGATCCTCCCTAATACGTGAAAGGGGAGAGTCCAGAAGCAAAATCTAGATAAAAAGCGAGATGAAGATGGCAAACAGCGAAGAACCACGGATAAAAGATAGGTAGGGAATACGGCAAGAGGATGGAAAGAGGTCAACGAGGCCTCTGGGGTGTTGCACGAGAGGGGGATTACCGCTGCGGCGCAGAGAGGCAGCTGACCTTCCTCTGTAAGATTACCTAATATGGCGTCAATGGGATTACGCTGACGATACACTGACGATACGCCAATAAGGTGGCTTGGAGAGAAAATTACACTTAAAAGACGTATCATACGGGCTGGATACAGGGCGATACAACGCGGTACTGATAAGGACTGGGATTTGAGGGCAAAGTCTCAGGTACTTTTGTTTGGTATTTCGTAGCCCTTTCAGTAACAGAAAGAGAATGAGGTCATGCACTGGAGCCTAGATTCATGCAAGAAGACGATGAGGGGGAAGGGGTGTGTGCCGCATTTGCGGGGACATGAGATGAGGGAGGGGAAAGAAGAACGCTCAAATGCATCCGATTCCAAGTCTAACCACGTTCAACAAGACAAGGGTGAAGAGAAAATAATAAAAAAAGTTAAAAAAAGGAAGGAACAAAGTTTCCAAAGGCGACGAATAAGTCAAGAGAGAGGGGCAAAGAGGAAACGCGGAAACCAAAAAAAAGCCTGCGAAAAATCATGATCAAGAAAGAAGGCTAGTTAGTTGAAGAAGAAAGAGGAACGAAGCCACGGTCACTGCTGCCCATAGTATGGCATGTTGCCTCCGGCCCCCGGCCCTTGAGGATAGTAGTAGGTGGTGCCTGGCGGCGTCATCATGCCTCCCATTCCAACTACTCCCCCAGGTCCTGATCCCGGTCCGTAGTTGTTGGGGTTCTGATACATCTGGTTGGTATCGTAGAAGTAGACCGTGCCACCGGATTCATGGGCCACAGTCCCGGGTTGACCGGCTTGCTCATTCGATGCTTGTGGAAGAACATATGGCATCGGTTGCTGGCCGGGAGGGAAGTTCGGTACGGAAGCACCCGGTCCCATCGGTCCATTATATCCAGGATAATATAAACCACCCTGGTGAGGCGGGTAACCGGGATAGTACCCAGAGGGCTGCTGGTATGAGTAGGGTTGGAAAGAGTCGGCGTGCACAGCCCGCTCAGGGATCTGAGAGAGTGGCGTCCCCGAGTGCTGACTCGCTGGACCATGTGGCATTAGCTCCTGGCCAGGGCCAGCCACGGGCACAGGAACTTGGTGATGGAATGGTTGCTCTTGCTGGGGCTGCGGCGGGTTGAAATGGAGGCTGGGAGTTTCGATATCTGCCACGGAAACTGCCTTCTGAGGGCGCGGTTGATGCATCGGGATTGGAGCTGGACGGCTTTCACGGTAGGGTGGATACGGAGGGAGCATCGTTGGCATGCCCATTTGTCCAGGCATACCCATACCAGGTCCAACTGGAGGAATACCGACTGGAGGGCGTGGTGGAGGCGGCAGACGAACAACAGGTTTGCCCATATCAGGATGAGCCATCGACGGGCGCGAATAGACTGAGCCTGCCGGCGATGGGAATCCATCCTGGGAACCCATGCCGAATGAAGACCGCCGGCTGGCAACGCTGGGTGTATATGAGCCTGGGTAATAACTTGGTCGACGTCCGGGGTAAAAGCCACCACGGCCGCGGCCTCGATAGCCTTGTTGGTTAGGACGTAATGCGCGGGGAATGAAGATGAAGGAACGCTCAGTAGACGGGAAAATATAACGAGGGGATTGGCCAGGAAGTGAGATTCGCACGGGCTTATCACGCCGTAGAGGAGGGCGATGTTGGGGAAGTCGCGTATGCTGTTTCTTTGGCACTGCGGCAAAGGGTTTCGCCTGGCTCATGCCCGGCAAGAACACCACAACCGGCACATTACCAATGAGAGTAGTGCTGGAAAAAGATCGGTTTGGCGGGGAGGAGCGAGGGGCAGTGGGAACATTCGAAGGGGGATTCGGTACTGCTGAGGGGGGGCGGCTGCTTTGGACCAGAGCGTTCATCACCAGCTACGGTAGCGTGAAGGTCATGATCCCACTTCCCTTCACTAGCATCGGTCTTCGTAGAGTTCCTAGATAACGTCAGTGATACTTGTTTCGTCAACACAGGACAAGAGCTGATCATACCTGCGGGAATTTCCATCGACAATTAGACCAACAGGGCGAGATGATTTGCCCTTGGTAGAGGGGCGATGACCATTTGTCCCTGCCTCCGTTGTCCGATTATCGTGGAGAAAGAAGCGGCCTCGCGTGGGTACAAAAGCCGGGTTCTGGTCACGCTCTTTCATGTATTTATCGTGCTCCCGGCGTTTCTTCGCAGCCAGAGTTTCCCGCTTTGGCTCAGTGGGAGGGGCCGACGGTGTTCGGCCGGTCTGAAGCTCTCGTTCTTCCTTGAGTTGATCAAACTCAACCTCTTCGCCCTCGTCGGTGATCTTGAGGCCGTTCAACATAGCTTCCGTATCCGATACTGTCGTTTTCAGTCCAGGTTTATTGGGGGATGTCGAGCTGCGTCGTTTCTGTTCTGCTCGTAGCCCACGGCCATTAATCTTTCGGCGATTCGGCTTGCCCGCTTCCTTGGCGCTCTGTGTCTCTTGTTCGTCCTCGCTACCTTCTACATCGGCATCCTCATCATCTTGATGGCTTTCCGCAGAGCCTTCGCTCAAGGAGTCATCTTCCAGATCTCCGGCGGTCGAGCCCTCTTCTTCGCCCTCATCTTCCCTTCTCTTCCTGCGGCTTGCGCCGATATGACGTCGACGAGGGGGAGCCATGAGGTGTTCGGGCGGCAGCTGTGAGCTGATCAAGTCGAGTACCTTCCCTCTGGAGACGTGGTTGGCGTTGGGGCCCGCCAACCAGGAAGGGATGGGGGAGGAAGAAGTGCGGCGAATGTAGGTGGGCGGTGCAACAAGCAAAAGGTGAATCAAAGGGCAACAAGAATGCTAAAAGAAGAAGAAAGGGTGGGTGAAAAGCACTTTGAGGGGTCAAAGTGATGTGAAAGAAGAAGAAGAAAAAAGAAGAAGGGGAGGTGAGAAGAGGGAGATGCAGTCCAGACAAAATAGGAAGCACAGAGCATCGATATATCGACGCCAGGATGGGCAAGGCCTGGAGACGTCAGCAGGGCGGTAGGTGTTTCTGCCCGTCTTTCCAAGTTTGTTGCCGCTTGGCGGAGGCATAAGGCATTAAGGCTTGTTCTATATTGAAGTCTATAAAGTGATATCTACTTGAGTTTGACTATTATCCTATTTGAGCAGGTTTTGGAGTATATTTGAATTTCTCACTATTCAGTGTGCGCTCACTTGCCGAGCAAGCCAATCGAAATATCTATATGTTGCGGTGCAGTACCAGAAGTAAGGGAGCTAAGGTGGATCCCCAGCTTGTACTAGCGGATCCCTTGATTGATAACGCCTATCACAACCATAATACATTTGCAATCGAAAGCACCTCAAAATTCAACCAAGTATACAGAAACTTTTTGGTGGGGTATCTTTATGTCCAAGAAGTGGCCCAACGTGGGCTTTCTTGGCTATGATGCCACGTCAACATGATTGCAGACCACCCAAAGGATCCTTGCTGTAAAGAGGCCCGAAAGAAAGAAAAAAAAACTTCTAGATGCCTGAAAATGGATCATAGTGGTAGATCGGTACTGCAAGAGCCACGATTGATGTGCATGCAGCATATCCGCTGTATCGAAATTTCCCAAACGGCATGACCTTTTTAGTCGAAGTTGACCTTCTTGCCCTGTCCCTCGACAATGGCACCGCTGAGTCGTTGCACGGTTTCCTTGGAATAACGAGTCTCGTCAACCTCTTGCTTCCGGGGCTTGCGCATGCGGGGTTGCTCTTCGGAAGAGCCATTCTCGTTCTTTCCTCCCTCCCTGTCCTTGCCAAAGCGCTTCTTGTATCGGGTTTGCGCATCTTCTGCGAATTCAAAACGAAGGCGGCGACCCAGGAGGTTGTTCACCCAGACTTTCTGCATGCGAGGCTTCTTGGACTTTCTTTTCTTCTTCTTCTCGTCGTCGGATTCCGAGTCAGAGCTGTCCGAGGACTCCTCTTCCTCCTCCTCCTTGACCATCACAAATCCTCTCACCGCTGCTTCCGCGATCGCAATATCTTCAAATTCCACCCAGGCAAATCCGCGGCACTTTCCTGAATCCTGGAAAGTCGCAAGGTGTACATGGGTCAAGGTGCCACACCGGCCGAAATGTTCTTCGAGAGACTCCTTGGTAGTGTCGAAACTGAGGTTGCCGACATAGAGTCGTCGAGATGGGGGGTTGCCACTGGCGGAGGCTTGGACCACAGCTTTGTCGGGTCGACCCTCGAAGTTGTTTGAAGGCTTGATCAACAACGGACGGCCTGTCAGAAGCGTCTCGTTCACCTTCTCCACGGCCGTGTCCTGGGCTTCCTTGGTCGAAAAGTCGATGTATGCGAAACCCTTGTTTTGAAGTCTGCCAAATTTCTCCGGGCCTTTGGACATGTTCACTCGAGTAATCGTAGATTCTTCAAGTCCCGAAAATTTGACAAGGTGCTCGATAAGCTCCTTCTCCGTCGTCGAGAAGACCATATTTCCAATCCAGATTCCCCAGGGAGAACGCTTTCCGGGGATAGGTTGCGATTCAGCAGTCGATTTAGATTCGGGTTTACCGGACGAGGTGTCTTCGGTATCTTTAGAATCTCCGCTGGTCTTGTTCTTTTTCGCTTGGCGCAAAGCTTTCTTCGATTGGGGTTCCGGCGCAGAAACATCGATCTCGAGTTCAGGGCCGTCCTGAAGCTTACGCTTCTTCTCGGCACGATCCACGGATTCCGGCATAATAGCTGATAGATATGTATCTGCGGAATAAACTGGTTCGGAGTGAGGTAATGGTAACTCAATTCCAGACAATCTTGCGAGACTTGAGAATCCCCGACGGTCCGCCATAATTTTTTTACGGCGGCCTGCAATTACCAACCGCGCAAGCCGGGCTTGGCGCGTTACGCCGCCCTTTCCGCCCTTTGACTTGACCCGAAGCTCAGCCTCCGCTATCCCCCTTCAATCTCATCTTGATCATCGCCCACCATGGCACAGGAACCTACCGACTCCGCAACTGCCATGGATACTCTTCCAGATGCCCCGGCAGACACCGCTGCGAAAGCGCCTGTTCGGTCCTTCAAGTACGCCGCCATCAAAGACCCGTGATGGTGCTTTGGCTAACCGTTCCCCAGGAAGAAATATGCGAAGATGAAAGTCAAATTCGACCATGGAATCCGAGAAAACGAGACTCTGATTCGAGAGGAATTGCGCATCGAGGATCTTTCCAAGCGTATCCAAGAACAGAACGAGTATGCCCTTCACCAAGCACCCGCAAGCTATCCAGAGCTGCCTCTAACTGTCTGAAGTCAATTATTAGAGGTCCTCCTTGAATTCAACGAGAGTCTCCAAGTATCTCCGACTATGCGATTCGACTTGAACATGCCAGCCGGTATTTCTTCCCTCCCCACCGCGGAGCAAGTAATCGCCCCCTTGGTGGAGGACGCGACCCTGGCACGAACGACACTAAAAGAGGCCAAGACGGAATTGGCGAACGGCAATTTCTCTGCTGGAGCATTTCGTCAGGTTGAAGAGAGTATCAAGCGCAACAAGGAATTTGCGCCAGCCATGAATTACAGCAGCCTATGTAAGGTGCCTCATACCGCCATCACTGCACCGGACGCAGAGAAAATCACCGATGGCGTGGAGCGCAGACTTGGATATTTTACTCCGGAACACGAAACCGAGTATTACCTAGCCCTTGATGCTAAACTTGGCGACGAGGCAGCCGCACTGCAAGTTGAGCGCATCCCCGACCCACCCACATTCGCAGAACGGGAAAAGGATGCCAACATCCGCAACCCGGCATCGGTCCACAACTGGCTGCGTCGTAACCAGCCTCAGACTCTGCAAGACCACGAAGTTGCATCGGAGAAGTCAACATCAAAGCCGTCAAATCAGCGCTCATCGAAGCGGGCGCCGACGCAGCGTAAGGATGAAGAGACACATGATGAGGATGGAGTGGATGCGGAACCAACACCTAAGAACAAGCGCAAGCGTGAAGAAGATACCGGATATCGACCCAAGGGTGGTAGTAGCCGCTCGAAGAAAAAGAAGGAGGAGTCGACTCCAACTGCCAACCGCACCACTAAGAAGACCTGAGGCTGGGATCCGGCGGGGATTTGATTTTTCCTCGATCAATTTATGTACTATTATGCATTTGCAGTTCAATTTCACGTTGGTCTTTTTTGAAAAGACTTTGAGACTATCTATGTATGGATATAGACCAGTGCTCACTGCACTTTTCAATAAAAGGAAGTACATAATGAAGCTTTCGGCCTATGGTCAGCTGCTAGATCATGAATTTGTGATTAACACTGAAAGTCGAACTAAGAATGGCACCCAACACTCTGCGATCCGTTGGATGAACTACAGATCAATTAAAACTATATTACATGTACAATCTCATGCATGACTTTTGTCTTCTAAGTGGAGTAGGTGGATCAGTCACGTGAATTTAAGAAAGTCTCGGTGCGGATCTCAAGCTTCGGACTTTCTCTAAACTGCTCACCATTAAACCCCTCGACGCAGATTATTCCAAAGAAACTTGTCTGCGATGGCAATCACAATTCTCCCACCCGTGGTAGAGGACGTTACTCCCTACCATGCCGACTCCGACGACTCCATGTCCGGCGCAGACTCAGACTCAGACGTTGAAATGAGCGGCGTCTCTCGACCTAACAAGAAACCGCGCACAGGAAACGGGAAGATCAGTTCAGGAATTGTCACTCCCGGAGAGATTGTTACAGCTGATCCTAAATGGATGAGGTAAGTTACCTCCTCTGAGAGTCTTCGCTAGCCTAGCGCGGGGTCGAAATCGGCCCCCCTCCCATAGTTTGAATATAATCAAAGCTAACATAACATCTCGCAGGGGTCACGGCACATACATGAACCCTCTCTCCACCTCAATTATCGCCACAGTCGCCGGCAAAGTCCAACAAACCAATAAATTGCTCTCAGTCCACCCGCTCCGCGCCCGATATATTCCCGAAATTGGAGATTTAGTGGTGGGACGCATTGTCGAAGTGCAATCGAAACGATGGAAGGTCGACGTCGCCGCCCCGCTACTGGCGCAGCTCCCTCTCTCCGCGATCAACCTGCCCGGCGGTATTCTGCGTCGACGAACAAGCGCCGACGAACTTCAGATCCGAACTTTCTTCAGCGAGGGTGACTTGGTGGTTGCCGAAGTACAAAGTGTGCACCAAGATGGTTCAGCGTCGCTTCATACCCGATCTTTGAAATATGGAAAGCTTCGAAATGGCGTTTTCCTTGCTGTCACTGGAACGGGAGGTAGCGGGGCATCTAGCTCTAGCGTGAAGGGAGGTGTTGGATCCGGATCCGGGTCCTCGGCCGCAGCGGCTTCAAGTGGCACTGGAGGAGGAGTCGTTCGATCACGGCGACAAGTATGGACACATACTACCGCCAATGGTGGTGGTGAGGTGGATATTATCCTCGGCGTGAACGGATATATCTGGATCTCCAAGCATGCGGATGGAGCCGAGGCGGTCTCGTCCACCACAGAGAATGTTTCGATTACGCGCATGGAAGAGATGGTTTCAAGTTCAATTTATTCCAGCCAAAATGACGACGTTCCGCCACAGACCCGCCGGGAGATTGCGCGGTTGACACAATGCGTTCGAGTTTTGGTGCAAGGCGGCGTGCGCGTGGACGAAGACACCCTCACGGACTCGTACGAGGCCAGTTTACAGGTTGATCTGGAAGTCGGCGATGATGAAGAGGAGGAATATGGGCAAGAGGGCCGGGAATATCTGGAGGGGGCCAAGGCTCGGCGAATTTTGGAGCTGACGATGCAGGGGAAGTAGGTTCACGATGTACGATAGATAGTAAATACCCGACCATTCTACTTGACCATGCCCGAATCGAGTCCATACCAAAATAGACTACCCCGTATTACTAGTATCTACTAGTATAACTATAACTAGTATAACTATATCGACGATCCCCGCACTGGCGGTCAGCTTCGCTTTGGGCACCCGCCATTGGGTGAGCCACGGTTCGGACGCGCATTACGCCGTTCACTTCTTCTAGTCGCCTGAGGTCACCTTTCACTGTGAACTTTTTACTCTCGGCTTTTCCCTTTCTCTTTTCCCCCTCCTTCATTCACCCCTTGCCAGATGTTTCGACTGCAAAACGATGTGCTATTCTTCTATTTTCTTCACCTCTCGATTTCGCTTTACCATAGCTCCGTACCAATAGGATAGACCCGCTTTCTCATCCGCTTTTCGCCCACATTTACCTCGAGCTCTCCCTCGGACGCTCACAGAAACTTTTCTTACTGATCCCTCAAACCCTCTCCGATTCCAACAATCCTCCAATCATGCCCGATCTTCGCCGCCAGATTTTCGAGAGCGGCAAGACCGTCTCGCGCAAAGCGGCTTCGAGAGAAGCCTCGCGCACTACCTCCCGCGAAGGCTCCAAGCAAACATCTCGTCAATCTTCGAGGGCTGCGAGCAGGCCGCCTTCTGATGAAGAAGATTCTGGATTTCTTTCCGACGATACTGCCATGAGGTGAGTAACTGATTCGTCCCTAGTTTCTCCCCTCCTCCTCCTTCCTTTCCTTTCCAACTTTTTGTGCATTCAAGGAATCTACATGGTCCCACCCCAGTGGCGGGATGATGTCACCGCCGTCAAGCATTGTTTTTTTTTTCTCTACATTCTACTACATTCTCGAAATTGGATAGCTCCAGCTGACCACAATCACCCTTACAGCATCGGCTCACTGGATGACGAAAATCCCGAGCAAGAAAATGAAGATTGGCCCCAAGAGCTAGCCGATCGTATCCAGGAACTCCTCGAGCGCAAACGCAGCACCGTGCAAGGGCGTGAAGAAGCCTTGGCAGCTTTCTGCCGCTTGACCAAATACCACTACGCCGAGGAAGAACTCCGTGGCTCAGTCACCGATCTATTGAGCACATTCGCCCGAAGCGTTCGAAATGAAACCAGTACCCGCGAGGCGACAAATGCTCTCCGCGCGATCGAGTTGCTAGTCATCACGTCGAGCGACGATAAGATCTACGAAAATGCAGAGCCGGTGCTGACACGCAGTATCCGCGACTCTAGCTCCGCCGTCGTCAAGGCGGCTGCGATCCATTCTCTGGGCACATGTACCATCTTCGGTGGGGCCGGCGAGGACGGTATTCTCGAGCAAATGACTTTCCTACTCGACATCATTGCGTCGGATGGTCAGTCCATCGACGCAGCAGATGATGCGGGGTGTGTCGTTGCAGCTCTACAAGTATGGGGCTTCCTCGTGACTGAAATCGACGACTTCGAGAGCGAAAGCGAAGAAGCTGTCCAAATCTTCATGGACCAGCTCGACAGTGGTGACAGTGGTGTGCAAATCGCCGCCGGCGAAGCCATTGCCCTTCTTTACGAAAAGAGCTACACGCCCCAAGAAGACGATGACGACGATGAAGAAGAAGAATCCGATGAGAGCGACGAACACGCTCCAGATATCACCGGTCCCAAGCTCATCAAACGTTACAACGCATACCACAACACCCCCGAGCTCGAACGCTCGCTACAGTCCCTGGCAACAGTGCACAACAAACGCATCAGCAAGCGGGACAAGAAATCACTGCACAGCAATTTCGCCTCTATCCTAACCACGGTTGAGAACCCACGCCGTGGACCTCGTTACAATATGGCCATTGATCAGGACACTAATCGTCACTACGGTAGTACACTCACTGTTAAAATCGGTCGTCACGGTCTTATGAGTATCGATCGTTGGTGGAAGTGGGTTCGGCTTTCATCGCTACGCCGTATTCTGCTGGGTGGGTTTGCCGAGCACTATTTCCAGGGTAATCGGGCTGTCCTCGATAACCTCCCTGTGATGATGCGCAGTATCGGTGAGACTAGCTCGGGGGCTCCTGATCGCCACAGTGCTAAGAAGGCTGCCAAAATGCGCAACTCTCGGCGCTGGGCTGCGCAGAATGATTCTGATGGCGATGAGTAAATGACGCGATTGTGCCAGTTCGGTTTCATTCTCACCATACGTATCCAATGTGTTCATGACCCTCAAAGTTTTCTTTTCTTCAAGTTCTTTCTTTTTTTTTCTCTTTGGACCTCCGAGTCTGTTTCTTTCTAGTCTCTGCTCTGCACAGTGTGTCTCCTCCTTATAGTGACTTGAATCACGAAGTATTTATATCCTTGCGTTCTGTTTAAGTTTTTGGCCACTTGAGCTGAAGTTTGATGTTCAAGTTTGAAACCTTGGAAGTTGTTTACAGTGGATCAAATACGCACAATCCATTACTGAATATATAAAACCCGAAGCCTCTGATGTTCTACTAGTAGTATTATAAAGTCTTTACTGCAGGGCTCATCACACAATTATTACTCCCTGTGTGCCGAATTCATGCTAATCGTGACTCCAGGGCCCTGCCCAGGTAGTATATATCACTCGAAAACCTAAACAATTATGTTCCTCTCTAGTGCAACTTGCATAATCCAAATACTCCTAGTAATACAGACATAGATTGAAAAATGCTAGATGCAATTTAATTGACACCATATCTCTAGAACGGAGTTCCTAACTCGAAGAGGGAACTCAAACGCTTCATCCAACTCTATTGGAAGTTCTAAGTCCATACGAACAAGAAAACCAAAGTGAACACGAAGAACCAAAAATGAGGAAAAAATGAGGAGAGGGGAATAGTATAAAGTAGAGAATAAAGAAAGACCGAAAACTTGAATGGAATCGAAATCGAAATCGAAATCGAAATCGAAATCAGCCCATATACTAGTACCTAATACGCTAACACCACCACCACCATCACCACTAGTACTAGTAGGGAGTCTAGTGTCTATCTAGTGTCTAATTAGTCTCAAAAACAGGCACAACACTAGACCAATTCCCCCTAGCCCGCTCATCCCAATACCCATCCTTACCACCCTTAAGCCTCCAAACAACCTCCCCATCAGCATCATCACTAACCCGCGTAAACCAGCGCGGAATCCAAGCCTCGCCAGCATCCTCCATCTCGCGACGGCGGGCACGCTGACCTTCTTCCAGCTGGACCTTGACTTCCTCAGCTTTATCGAGGTCGCCTTCTTCCAAAGCGCGCTGATCAGGACGGAGACGCGAGTCCGTGGATGGGAGGTGATTCTCTTCCACGGGGGTAATTTCGTTCAGGGACGCGGCGAAGGCTGTTAGGCCATAGTGCTTGGGCGCGCTGGGGACGAGGGGTCCTGCGGACCAAATTGGTTTACCGGATGGTGTTGATCCATCGCGGGTGAGAGATAGCGCTGTTGGCCAGGACCCCGTTAGACCCAGGGAGAGTGGTTTGTTGTACGAGTCCACGGCTCGAGTGGAGACTTCTTCACTGCGGCCGGAGAACATGCCGCCAGCTTTGAAGGTGGTGATTGTTCGTTGGCCGGTGGTTTCATTTGCGACTGTCAATTCGCCGACTGGCTCGACGTATTTCTCGCCGGCGATGATGTTGCGTAGAAAGGATGTTGCTACTATCCAGCTGAAGCGCTCGCCTGTGGCATGGAGGGTGATGCGCACTCGACCTTCGGTTGTGATTTCTGCGGACTTGCCCCAGAACTTTTGGCTTGGCATGGGTGATTGGGAGAGGCTCCATTCGCGACTGTCGGCTTGGTAGGCCAGTTGGACTGGGCGGTGGGAGACCTTTTCGGCGATGAAGCGGAAGCCTTGGTCTTCGCGGACGAGTTCGTAGGTTTCGCCGAGCATAGGGTTGAAGGGTTTGCGGATAGATCGTTCTCGGACTCGATTGCTGGATAGAGAGGATAGAGCAAACGCCGTGACGTACATCAATCGTTCAGTGCTATCGGAGATCTGAGCAGCTTTGTCCAGCATCGATGAGTACTCGACAATCTCGGCTGCGCGCTGCAGCAGGGAAAGGGGCTCGTTCGCGGAAACTGGCATGGATATCGTGGATAGATCTTTGCCGACGTTCTTGCGCAGGAATCCGATCAGACTGGGGGGGTAGGACTGTCGGGGCTAAGATGTTTTGACGACGACGGACGGCATCCAACGGAAGGGGAGACAATGATTTGGGTTTGACTGGGAACAATGGAGAGGCATTGCTACTATCCTGAGGAGCTGTCGATTCGTCGTCCTCGTCACTATCTGAGGGAGCATCATCGACTTGCTCGGTAGCGGTGTCCGGTCGTTCTCCATTTTCTCCTTCTTCGTCACTGTCTTGGATTGTAAGGAGCGGGGAATTAGCACCTCCATCATTGGCATCGAAGAATTCCAAGTCCTCAGACTCCATACTCCGACGAGGGGCCATCGAGACCGTCGAGCGGGGTGGGTGTCGGCGCTGTCTGCTCTCAGAGAGAAGAGTAGAGAATTCCGTCACAACATTATCCAAATCGCGTAGAACAGCCATCAGATGGTCGTGGATCTCGTCCATTCCATCAGCATGACTGGCAATACTGGCAGGCTTGCCGGTAGGCACCACCAGCTGAGAAGAACTCGAATTTGACTGCTCCGGTCCCGGTGGACGCTTACCACTAGCATTGGAAGTTCCACTAGTCTTGCGCTTCCAGAAAGGCCGTCTCGGATCACGGTCACCACTGGGAGTTTCACTTGCAGATGCCGGTTGAGGGCTTGGAGATCGGCCACGGGTGCGCTCCGAAGCAGCGGGCGCTGGAGTCGTCAGGTACTTGGGATCCGTATCTCTAGCAAGGCGACGCACGGCATCACGCGAGCCAGATACTTTGCCAACAAGGCTTTCCACCTGAGTCCATTCTTGTTCCTCCGCCGGAGAGGGTTGGTCGGGGAGAGATATGCGCAGTTCAGGAGGACCGCCAAGATGAGAAATTCCATTCCCTTTGGGTGTCTCCGGAACAGAAGCCTTCTCTAGAGCGCCTTTCCAAGAGACGAAGTCTTGGTCATTGCTGGCGCGGAGATGCCAGATCTCCGTTCCGGAGTCAATGGAGATCTCACGGGACTTGTCGTTGGTCGCTACGGCCGCCAATGAAAGTGGGATGGCGCCTCGTAATGCTGACGAATTCGGATCATGGTAGTATGACAGAGTGCATGATGTGAAGTCCAAAGAGAAAAACCGACGTGCCCAGCCCTGGTGTCGCTTACGCCGGCGCTTTTGCAGCTGACCCGTGTGTACGGTTGACGTGGAGGTAACTGCGGTCTGCGCGCTCAGGGTCGATCGGCTGTTCCCACGACGCCGTGTCTTGGGCTGCGACAGGGATTCGGTCGAGCCACTGGTCGCGGCGCGAGCGATCGAAGGTGGTGCGGAACCATGCGGTTGTAGACCGGTCGGATAGGTCAGGAGAACGAGGGTGACGGTCTTAGAGATTTGTTTAGAGAAGGTGTTGTCGAAGACCAGCGCGTAGTTCCCAGCCTCATTCGTGGGCACATCGTATGTCCCTTGAGAAATCTTGTCGGCCTCGCACTTCCCGATCCATTTGATAGACTTGAGGCCGATGCCTGTAAGCTTGTCGATAACGGTGGATTGTTGATTGCGGGACCCGGAGTTCGCGGTTGCGGTTGCGGGGAGGTTCTCGTTGGAATCGGTGCTGTGGGAGTCGGAGGGGAGGTGAGAGCCGAGGGAGTTCGACTGGCCGGGATGCTTGAAGATGCCAAAGTTGACCGACTTCTTATGTGGTTGAATACTCCATGAGATGGTGTGGCCTGCGCCCACGTTGACCCAGCGCACGAAATAGGACTGTGGGAAACCAGGTTGGTTAGATTAGCATAACTAGAACGCTCTAGAGGGGAGCAATGGGGGATCTGAATCAGTATAACTCACCTTGCTATGGATCTCCAGCTCTTCCATTGCAGCCATGGTGCCCAGAGTCAGAGGTGGTTGCAGAAACAGGAAAGAGTATGTTGAGGTGTCAGCCTTATGACGATGAGGGCCGTCGCGGTCCGGTGGAGTTGCGGCTGAAGGGGGGGCGAAAGAGACAATGCCGGACAAGAAGGACACAGTTGCTCAAGTCTTTTTCATTTGTCTTTGATCGCAGAGAAACAGAAACAAAAACAAGAACAAAAACAAAAACAAAAACAAAAACAATCCGTGAAATCCGGGGGGAATACGATAACTCCCCTTTTGGCGGGGCAAAAGACCAACTCAAATGCAAATCACCCGAGGCCGAGGAATCACACTTCACATGGTCCCTGACGATGTCATTGTCCGCTGCCTAGGCTGGGCATGTCTTACAAGGCTGGTACGGGAATTTGGGAAATGGTAGGGATCCCTTGGATCCACCTTGTTTTCTACTGCACATCAGGCTGATGCTGGAAATTTGTATCCATTGTAACTCGAAGAATGGTTACACAATGCCCATATTCCCCCAACGGCCAACAGGTGTATCAAATTAAAATAAAAAGAGGCAAAGGTAAAGAAGAATCGGCACATGGAACTCAAATGCAATGCCCAGATTTTGTTTTTTGATCCGCTTTTCCTTGGATGAATGAATGAAGAAGATTGCAAAAAAAGAAAACGTAGATAGTACACTATACAGACGAGCATCTGCGCTCACCTCCTGACCCGACTCTGCATGTTGCTAAACATCAACTTGAAGCCATTGCAGAGGGCCTGCATGTCGGGATAGGGATTCTTCTGAAGCTCGTAGCCCTGAGGAATCACCTTGACTAGCCAGTTCTGGAGTCGCGAGTTCTCACCCGCCTTGAAGCAAAGGTAGAAGTAGCCGGGGTATTTAGGGTTGGTGCAGAATGCATAGGCGGAACGACGCGGGTTAGCCTTGGTGTAAGTCTCGAGCCATTGGTCTGTCGAATTTGTTATTGTTAGTTCAAGATTCTCCCTGCGGATGGAAAGTATAGTTGAAGTAGAATGGAATCATACCGGTCTCGGCCTTGCTGCCATCTTGGAATTTCTCATTCAGCGTCATCTCCTCGACCTTGCGGGCCATCGCCTTGACATGGTTGACGATCAGGTCGTCAAGATCACTGTAGGTATATTTGCCTCCAACCTTCAGAACACGGCCCACGGAGAACTCATTCTCCTTATCCAACTCCAGTACGTCAATATGTTGATAGACACCGTGTGCCACCTTCCATGTAACAGCAAGGTGGTCGTGGCCACGGGATGATGGACGAATAATGACCTCGCCACGAGCGCGAGAGCCCAAGTACTCCTCTGCTTGGGTGGAGTTGAATGGATGGAAGAGGGGATGCTTAATCACACGCATGGCTTGTCCACCCTGCTGTGTCTTCTCTTGCATAGCATCCTTGTCGGCACGTTCCTGCTGATCATCCCAATCGCCGTAGCCGCGGTCCGGGTTGCGATAAGAGGGATGGCTGACTTGATCTTCATGCAGGGACACATTGCAGGTGAAGTTCTTGCGGTTAAGGAACAAGATCTTAGCCGGAACTGTTTGATGCGGCGCATAGGCGTTGCGCACTGGAAGATCGTGGGGCACGCCGAGTTCGGTCTCTGCGACCAGCGCATCGACTCCACAGTCTAGTTTGGCATCAATGTGATCTTCGAACACCCGCTTGATCGCAATAGGAACCACCATGCCAGCGTGCAGCGATTCTGCCGTCTCGCCTGTGAGCATGGTAAAGATGTCGTCGCTGCTGAGGAAGACAAATTGTTTTCGCAGCTCCTCATACGGTTGTTGCAATTCTGCACGAATGGTTTCAAGAGTTGCACGCTTCCGCTGGTTGAGGTTCTTCTCAAGCTGCTCCGCATACTCCTCCAGGATCAAGTCGTTGACGCGATCTTGTTGCTCGTCGCGGAATAACTTCCGAACAATGGCACCAGTGCCGTTCTCGTCGGTCTCGGCCTTGATATCTTCCTCATCCAGCTCCAAAGCATCGGCAGCCATCTTGCGCGCGATATCGTAGTCTTCGGGATGCACACGAGTGTTGTCAAGAGGGTCGGCGTCCGGATCGGCATTTTCATAGTCAATGAACACAAAGCTAGCGCAGTTGTTCCATACCTTGATGCCCATCGCAGGGTACTGAATGTTTTCACCGACACCCAGCAGGTCCATTCGGTTGTTCACGTTGCCTCCGTTCATGTTGACGACCTTGAGAAGATGGGCTGCCTTACGGGGCCCAAGTCCACATACATAAGGTAGAAGATTGGCGCTTGCTGTGTCGTGAACGGCCTCATTGAGGTCCACTCCCACCAAGTTGACCATGTCAACTAGGGCTGTCTCCAGCTGCTTGAGCAGCAGTTCTTCTGTCACCAACTGCTGACCGGGTTTAAATTGAATAGACACAATGTCGCGACCGAGTGAGGCATACTCTTTCAGGGGGGATTGCAGATATCGAGCCAAAGCGACACAGTAATGTGTTAATGGTCCGAACCCTGGGTTATCTTGGCGGGCCCTTGGGCTTTGGTGGTAAAGGCGAGCGACCTCATCATTGACAATAACCACCTCCAAAGGATCACTGATCTCTTCATCACGGTCATCTGTGTAAAATGCACCACGGATATCCTTCAACTCAACGAGCTCAGACAGAAGCTTGTAGAGACGACGAGTCTCCGGTGTCATACCGGACACTCCGATAACATCTGGCTTTCGTCTCTCCACCAAATCCAAAAACGCTGCCACATCGGCGCCATCATTGACACCACGGTTTTGGTCGCCAACCGACAAGTCTGAAAATTTTCCATTTTCTAGCACACGACCATCTTCCTCGACGTAGGCCCAGTGGATAGGATCTCTACCCACAACACCGCTTCCGCAGGAGAGTGCAATGATCCGGGGCACTGTGCCCAGAACCATACCCTTGGGTTTATAAGGAGATTGGTCCAATCGTTGAGAGAATGCCTCGCGGCACTCTCTGGCAACGTGGTTCTCACACTCTTGACGGATGTTTTCTTTGACACTGCGGTTGATAAGGCGCTCCAGTTTGACCAAGGCCATATCCAACACTTCGCGGCGGAGGCGGTTCCAAGCGTCGGCAACTTCTGAGTAGTTGTCAGATTCGATGTCGGTGTAGAGTCTCTGGCGGAATTGATTGAAATTCTCGAAGCGCACACGAACTTCCACAAGGCCTTCCTCCTCAGCCTTCAGCATGCGCAAGAACATTTCCGGCTGACGAGCAATATCACTGAGTTGCTGGTTCCGCAAATATTTGAATTCGTAGTAAGGATGCTGTTCGTCAATTCGGCGCAGACCCTTCTCTGTGCGGAAACAATCAACCACACCGTTCATGTAGTATGCTTGTCGAATGACCTTGCGCATTTTAGCGCTGCAAGAGATTTCCTCAGCAAGCATAGATTTGGCGGCTTTCAGAACATGAGAGCCGCTTGTGAAATTGGTATCCACAAATTGATCGGCCAGCTCGTCTGGGCCCTCGGTGGGGTCTTCTGTGTATTGACGACGACCCTCTTTGGAGGCATTTTGTGCAAAGGCGTCGGCAGTTATGCCAAAGGCACGCACCAACCCATATGCCTTGCCATTTCGAACTCGTTCAAAGATGGTCTTGCCGGTCGTCTTGCGTCGTTGGGTTTCGCCATTGGTTTCGCTATTCACGGTCGATGCGTCATGGATTTGAGAGGCATATTGGAAATGCATATACTCTTGCACGTCCTGCAGCTCCTCGACGGTGGTCGCCGAAACCGAAAGATCCTCCACAATGCTGTCACTAACATTGAAAAGACTTTGCAGATTTTCATAGGTTTTTTGGATTGTGGAGCGTCTGTCGATGAACGAGCGGAACTTGAGGTCGTATTCGAAGATGTCCCATAAGTCTGTCATGTTCAGGAGCTTTTCAGCACGAACATGGTATTGTGCCGACTCATCCGCGGGATCCTCTCCATTCAGAGTCTCCTTCACAGCGTGGATCATGTAATCCTTCCGGTGTTGGAAAATGAACGGAACTTCATAGTCATCTGTAATCAAGAATTCGAGCATCTTGGCCACCGATCGTTGGAAGGGCTCACGCAGTTCCGGGTCCATGCGCTTCTTGAGCAGCATCAAATTCGAGATCCAGACCGCTTCCTCTCTGAATTGGTCCTCCGAAAGCACCACATGGCGGTATGGCTTGCGTGAAAGTTGATGGCGTTCGGGCTCATCTAGGAGACGGATCTCGTTGTCCTCCTCCGTCAACATTCTTTCCGCTAGCTCCGAGGGTTCGAAGACATCGGTCATATTGATCTTTCGCGACTCGGTCACTTTGTCCTCCTCCTCCTGTTCTTCAATGTCGAGGGCGAATCTGTATTCTGTACCATCGCCAAATGCTGCACGAAGGTCCTCCAGGGCATTTTCGTCTAGGCCGGCGCCTTCGGTAGCACCCAGACCGGGTACATGTGCTCTGGATGGAGGCGCAACTTCCAGGTCGTCTCGTTCACGCTGACCCTCTTCATCCGAAAATGTGTCCTCTTCAATAAAGTCGTCAAACTCGTCGTGCCCGCCTCGACGGGGCCCAGCATGTTTGTAAGGTTCCGGTTCCTCCTCCTCGTCCGAATTGAAGATGGCATCAACACCTTGGGATGGTTGGTGACTATCACGGTCTTTTCTGCGTTTGAGGCGTTTGAATTTATTCTGTTAATCGGTAGACAATGGCCGTGTCAGTAAATGTACCCACAGTACCCTTCGAGGGTTTCCCAAAGACGCATAGTGAATTGTTAAACAAGCGCATACCTCAGAAGGTTGACCACGGCTCAGCCCAGGTACATGTTCACCGATCAGCTCCAGATCATCCTCGTCGAGATGTTCCTCTTCCCGAGGGCGTGATCGCTTGCCCCTGTGGTGACGACGGCGGTCTTCGATCTCTTCATCTTCGTCGACGATGAATCCTTCACGAACCTATCGCATAAATTGATTGTTAGCGCGCATGCATCTTTCATGGGGTTCGAGCTCCAACTCACGGCGCGAGCAGCCTCTTCGTCATCGTCCTCTTCTTCATCTTCCTCACTCGAGTCATTGTAGTGGTTCACGGTCCCGGCGCCCTCGCGGACCTCACCTTCATCGCCTTCATAATGTTCAGCGACATCCGCGTCATTCTCGTCATCATCCCTCATGGCCTCGCCATCGACCAAGTCGCGGAGACTCATGGTGGCTGGTCGGTAGCGATCCTTATTCCTAGTGGAAAGCGAACAAGGACCAAAGGTTTGAAGATGAAGAGGACGATAGCGCAAATCCGGCACCCGGCAGTGCCCGATTCAGAAAGGCGAAGTAATGGGAGTGGGTTGGAGGGAATTGAAAGAGAAAATGAGAGCAGAGCAGAGCAGAGCGCGCGAAGGCAGGGAAACCTACGACTGGCCGGTACTTGTGGCTAGTGTGGAGTGGCTGACACCTCTACTAATTTGGTTAGTCCCAATTATGTCAGCATTTGCGCCACATTTTACTAGATCACGTGCTGGGCATTCACCCAAGGCAATCCCAATCGGTGCCTGAATCTTACTGCATTGCATGGTCGAGTCGGATCCTGCCTTGTCGATTTCCTATGCAGTACTGTTCCTGGCTAGCTGCCCTTTGGTACCTTAACTGTTAATATTATTTGTTCTATATTGGATATTTTTTGTGAATGTTTCCAACCCCCAATCCACTCCTCACAAAGAGGGATTTTCCTTCCGAGGAACAGCTCCTATGGGGTAAAGACCAGTGGAGAAGCAGGGAACACCTGTGTTTCAAAGTAACAGTAAAGTCTTCAACGTAGGAAAGACATATTAGCAAAGTCTACCGCCCCCCCCCCTGTGATCCTGCACATCCCTCTTCCCTTTTGACTATTTTTGGCGCCAGCTGTCCATCCTCTCGGTGTTGTTGGTCCAGTCGATGCGCCCGCAAGGCCCAATCAGCGCCGCCAAGCACACATCTTAAGGTGATATCGGGTTCCCCGCCGCTAGTTCGCGCTTCTGCTTCTCCCTCTCCCATCAGCGCGGTCGGTCTTGCGCTGAGCCGACTTCTCTCCCTTTTCTCCCCCACCTTCTTTGTCGACCCCTCGACTTGTCATAATCTTCCGTTCAAACAGCCATGGCCGACCAGTTCAAGGCCCGGACGTTGAAACGCAAGAACGTCAAAGGTCTTGCCCTCAATGCGACCCCCAAGCCCGCCGCCGCAAATGCCTCCGACGGTGATGCCCAAGTTCCCGGGGCGGTCGGTAACTCAGAGGGCACTCGTACAGATACCCTGGAAATTGGCCTGGAGTTCCGACTCGATCTCCGAAGTGAGGACCTGGTGACGTTGAAAGAACTGGGAGCCGGTAATGGAGGCACAGTCTCCAAGGTGATGCACGCATCAACCAAGGTGATCATGGCCCGAAAGGTGAGTGTCTTGAATTCGTTTTTTTTTTCTTGTCCGCTGTCAATTTGTCCAACTCCAAGCTAAATAATTGCTCGTCTACCAGATCATTCGAGTTGATGCCAAAGAAAACGTGCGAAAACAAATTCTCCGAGAACTTCGAGTGGGACACGACTGCAATTCCAACAATATTGTGACCTTCTATGGTGCCTTCCAGAACGAGGCCCGAGACATCGTCCTGTGTATGGAATATATGGACTGCGGGTAAGTTTCTAGGCGGGGAGCCTGTCCCGTTGATGACCCCTCCTGGCGGCTAACATTGTGGCACACAGATCTCTCGACCATATCTCAAAGAACTTCGGCCCCGTTCGAGTTGATGTGCTGGGCAAAATTACAGAATCCGTTCTTGCTGGTCTGGTCTATCTGTATGAAGTTCACCGTATCATGCATCGCGATATCAAACCTTCCAACATCCTAGTCAACTCTCGCGGAAACATCAAGCTGTGTGATTTTGGTGTCGCTACGGAAACTGTCAACTCCATCGCCGATACCTTTGTTGGAACGTCGACCTACATGGCCCCGGAGCGTATTCAGGGAGGGGCCTATACCGTCCGCTCAGATGTGTGGAGTGTTGGTTTAACCGTCATGGAACTGGCCGTTGGACGATTCCCATTTGATACTTCAGAATCTGCGGCCGGAGACCGAGCCAGTGCCGGCCCAATGGGTATTTTGGATCTGCTTCAGCAAATCGTTCACGAGACTGCTCCTAAGCTGCCCAAGAGTGATGCTTTCCCGCCCATCCTGCACGACTTTGTTGGCAAGTGTCTACTGAAAAAGTCTGAGGAACGCCCAACTCCGCGAGAGCTTTATGTACGTTGAGAATGCACCTAGACCCTTGGGTATCACCGTGACTAACGCTTTCGGATATAGGACAAGGATGCTTTCCTACAAGCGGCAAAGCGTACGCCAGTCGACCTGCAAGAATGGGCCATCAGTATGATGGAACGTCACAATCGCAAGTCCTACTTACAGCCCCCCTGCGCCGAAGTCTCTCAAGGACACTCAAGCTCCCACTCCGACCACCTCATCTACTGTTCCTATACCAGCAGCGGCACCCCCAGCCCCAGCACCAATTCCGGCACCAATCTCCAAGCCTCCTCCCCCTCCCATCAGCAAGACAGTCCGCGCCCCACAGCCACAGCAATCACCTTACCAACAACAATCACCCTACCAACAACATCCTTCTTCGGGTGAAATCCCACTCAACATTGGCAACGAGTTCCCCATGCCCAACCGCTACTACGGCCATCAGCCTCAAAGCTACTCGTCCCGCACCAACTCCGCGAAGTCTCCACCACCACCATCATTGGAGCACCTGTCCCTGGAAACAAAAGACGACAGCGATCACCGATCCCGCCGCCCCAGCCGCCAGCATCTAGGCGACCCCGTCTCAGCCGTCGACGCACCTTCGCGACCCTTCATGAGCCCGCGCTCCGCAAGCTCACACAACACCAAGTCCCGCACAAACTTGAACCCAGCTACATTGCCCATCCGCGCGACTCCCCCGCCAACCGGTCCGCCTCCACCCCCACCAGTCTCCGCAGGTGGAAACTATCGTGGATACCCTGGGTATGGTATGCCAGGTGCAACATCCTGAGTGCCTTAGAAAAGCGGAACCAACACCGAAAAAAACACAAAAAATACCGACACGAGTCAGGGATGCCGATATGCCATGTTTGAAATGATTTCTCGCGATGTCCGGCCATCTCAGATGCTTTTTGCATATGCATGAATATGATATTCACACTGCGCCTTCGAGCTGCATTAGCCCACATCGAACCCATGTCTTCTACCACTTACTTTCTTTGCCTTGCCTTGTTTTTGTCAACTTCATCTTGGCCATCTTGTGAGAGAGGTTGTTTTATCCCAACCCCGCGTCGATCGGATTCGGAATCAAGGCCAAGCGGAGCTAAAGGCAAGCACACTGTTTCATCCATTCACTTCCCCAGCCAACCTCATTTTGAATTCTCTATGTTTATTTTCTTTTCTTGTCTGTCTGGTTCTTTCTTCCCCTCATCCTGCCTTCTCTTCTCTTCCATTCTATTCCCCAACTCTATTCCTGGCCATCCCTCTTTTTTTGCCCCCGGTTCTGGTTCTGGTTCCCCTCCGCCTTCGCCTTCCTTCTCAATGACCTTCCCTTCCCTTCATCCTGGCAACGACCGACCAAATGACAACGGGCGATCTTGGACTTGTGATTTGTTTCCTTTCCCCCTGCATGATACGGCGTACATATGTGCAAGCTCTGATCTGATGATACTTCAATTTCATATTAAATCTGGTTATTTTATTTCTTCTTCTTCTACGAGTATGAGTATGAGTATATAGTACCGTGATGGTTACCCTACCGAGTACTAGTATCTGTAAACTCTAACTCCCGGTCATGTCTTAGCTTCAACCTGAACCTTGGAACTTGAATTGAAGTACAAAAGACCATCTAGTACTAGTAACTATCTACTAGTATCCAATCCATCCATACGCATGCCAAAGTTCCAAGGTTTCTCTGCCCGGAGCCATGCTACTAATATTGGGCACACTGGCATTTGCTGTAGTACGAAACTTAACTTAGCCACCAGTAAAAGATTTACATCAGGATGCAGCCTGAGGCTCCACTGATATCATTCAAGTTCTTTCCCAGAAGACGCGATGTCGATGCATTCATACCCCACGAACAGGGATCAAAACCATAACCACAGATAAAAACATTTAAAAATGTACGAGTATAGATACAGATTCACACGCATAACAGCAAAACAAGGCTCTCGAACGAAACAAAGACAAAAAGAAACCACGCAAGCAAGCAAGCAAACAGCAAGTCTGAGATCAGTCACGAGAGAAACAACGTACAACCATTCTTTCCATACTGACGCCTACACCGACACCGGAATGAAGTGCAACACACACAGATTCACATGAGAATAAACTCCATAAAGTAGAGAGAGAGCAAGACGAGGAGGAGAACGAAATCTTCAATCACAGAAAAAAAAAAAAAAACAATCAGTCTATTGTCATGACAAGCTCGGGCCAGCAAGCGGGCTAGGACCCGGCGTGGGAGCGAGATTAGAATTGTGGTTAGGAGTCAAGTTCGGCGGAGCAGGCGCGAGATCCATCATCGACATCACTGATGGATTATTATTATTCTGGGCAGGGGTGGAAGGCGTTGACGCTGACGATTTCCCACCACGGGTACTTGAGCTTCCGCCGCGACCAGACCCGCCTCCACGACCACCGCGGCCTTCATGGGTCGCCGATGCCGTAGTGCCATTGCGTTCGCCGTGCTTTTCAGCGTCGGCTTTTTTGGACCCGCGAGGTCGGCGCGAGGTACCGCCTCTTGAACCGGGGCCGCGTAGGGGCAGGCCTGTGTCTTGGGATATGGGTACCGCTGCAGCGATGGGGACATGGGGGTGTGAAGCCAAAGCTCTACCTCGGCCTGTGCCTCGTCCACGACCACGACCACGCTTGATTGTTCCGTCGGCACTATGTGGTTGATTAGTATGCGGCTTAAGTTGGGAAAAAGATGAATAAAACTAACCGTTCCACCTGCACTTTATCACCCTCTGGCACGAGTGGGCCACTGTACACGAAGAATCCGTCTTTACTCGCAGCGGCTTGTTCCTGCCAAGCCATCTCAGTGTCGTCAACGAAAGGGTCGTCTCGATCGTACTCCTCCACCTTCTTCCGCCGCCTCTTCTTGCCATCACTGGCTTCAGAGGGCGCACCATTGGTCCCGGTTCCTGCTCCTCCCATAGTAATGTCTCCGTCCATATCACTATCGCGATCTACATCGAGACTCAGATCTTCCTCGGCGCTCTCTCCGGCAGACTTGCCCTTGTCATTGCGCTCGAGAGCAGCACCCGCAGCAGCAACACGTGCAAGGCGCTCTTTGTGCGCAGCCAGGCGAGGATGCAATGCTGCGAATCCATACTGCTCCTCTGCTAATTGCGCAAAGTTCACGATATGGTTGCCCTTTTGGAGGGGAACATGAACAATGATGTTTGGCGTACTGCGCGCATCCGGTGACTTGGAATCGTCTGCGCCACCGAACAAGGCAGTGGTGATCAGCCCAGAACCTTGAGGAAGTGGAGGAGCTTCCTTGGTTGTGCGGCCCGGCTTTGGTGATGGGGCCTTGGAAGAGGGCGCGGTAGCGGTACCCTTCTCTTTCTTTGCGCTTGATGCGACTTGTTCCTTCGAGTCAATATCCATGGCATCTGAGGCTTGTTGTGGTTTCTGCGGGGTAAACGCTTGCACCAGGGGTTCGGGTTGCCGTGGGGGTTGCAGCGACTGAGCTGTTTGCTGCTGTAGGGCTGGTGGGGAGAGTTCCAACTGGGGAGGTTGGGACAGCGGTGGACGTTGACCCGAAGCTGTATATGATGCATGGTAATTGGATGGTATTGACTGAGACGCGGGAGCTGGACCGTTTGACGGTGACGATACAGGCATTGGTGACGGAGCTAGGGAAGGATGAGAGGGTGCAGGAGCCACGGCAGGCGGCGCCGGGGAGGAAACGGTCGAGACATGTCCAGAGGTAGATCGAGTAAGTTGTGGATAGGACGGTTGTGAGCTTTGGGTAGGTGGGTCGATGATACTCGAAATTGCCGGCGAGGCGCTGGCACGATAGTTACTTTGGGGCGAAACGGTATGTGTTGGGGGACTATAAGCTGGCGCGGGAGAAGCGGTGCCGAAAGCTGAGCGAATCGGGTCAAAATTCTGACCACTGGTTCGAGGTGGTGGCTGCGCTTGCTGAGGAGGAGGAGGAGGAGGGGGTTGTGAATGAGGCCGAGGCGGATACGATTGGTGAATGTTATAAGCAGGGCCAGATGGTGGTGGGTGTGGACTTGGGGAGTATGTCGGTGTCGGGGCGGGGGGAGCAGCGGGTGGGGGAGCAGACACCGCGGGTGTTGGCGTGGCTGCGGCTGCGGGTGTGGGTGAAGGTGCAGTTACTGGTACAGGTACAGGTGTAGGAGCTTGAGACGGTGCTGGAACTGGAGTTGGAGCTGGAGTTGAAGTTGAAGCTGGAGTCGAAACAGGTGCAGGTTGGGGAGAAGGAGCCGGAGCAGCCTTCTGTGATGGGGTCCGGGGGTCTGCAGTGGCCGAAGTAGCTGCACCAGCCACCGTGCCTTCATCCGGTTGCTCTAATTTTGCCTTCTTGCGCGCTGCCGCGGTGGTCATGGACTTTTCGCGTGGACGGCGAGGAGCGCGGGTAGGCTTTTCTTTTTCTTTTGTTTCCTTTTCCTTTTCCTTTTTTGCCTTTGTATCCGGGGTGTTGGCTGTCTCTTCATCCTTCTTTCGACGCGACCGCCTAGTAGTGGAGGCACGTCGGGTGTTCAGCCCTTCGGCCTTGGTGTCTTCGACGGGCGGGGCTTCTTCTTTGGGGACACCCGTCCCAGGAGTTTCCGTGGCCATGGTTGTGGTATAAGTCGAATTGGCGGAAAATCACTGATGGTGAGTGAATAAATAATAGAGAGGATGGTGTTGGATGTTGAAGGTGGAGATGGATGTTGGATGTGGTCGGTCGGGGCTGACGAGGTTTAGAGAAATTGGGGGGAAAGGTGGGAGGTGGATGGGTGTGGGAATGGAACACCAGATTGGATGGATAAAACCACAAATGTTTGGAGGAGAAGATAGTGTCGGGGAAATTAGATCAATGAAACAAGAACATCAAAACTGATGGTGGTGGGGGGTGGATAGGAAAGAAGAGAAAAGGACATCGAGAAGAAGGGGGAAAAGAAAGAGGAGAGGGATAAGAGAAGGAAAGAGAAAGAAAAGGGCGGGAAAGGGCGAAAAGGAAAAAAAAAGGGTAGGAAAGGGGAAAAGCGATCAAGGAGCAGTTTGGATGTGCTCGAATTCACAGTTAACCAGGGCACACGCGCTTTGCAAAAAGAGATCTAAGCGTGGTATCAAATAGTTCCGATGATGGTCGGTTTCGAGCTCATAGTGAGGGATCTCTGACCAGTTGAAACCTATACTTTCAAGTGATATTGGACTCTTCATGAAGTCATTCAATGCAATTCCTCTCTTCGATACGCGCGGATCTGGCGTTAGTGGAGGTGGTCCATCATTTTCCCGCGTTTACTTCGGCTCCGCAACCCTCTTAGGCCTAGACGCCTGTTGCATCGATGATCGCAGTACGAAATCTGGGGACCCGACCCTTCCAGTGTACCTTCAACAGGGTCCTCCTGGATCAGGATTCCCTCTCTTTGGATTTGGGTATTTCTGTGGCGTTGCGCATCTCTATCTCGTCTTAGAACTAGAGATCGATCGCATCTGCAGTATAATTGGATAAGATGTTGGGCATCAAACAAGCTTGGGAAGTATAGGAATGATGACGATAGGTGAGAGTGAAGGCGAGGCAGAGAATAGTTGAGGATCTATTGAGCATCAATTGAGTCTGTGGTTTAGAATAATACCATTCGCTACTGTCTGTGTAGATAGCTAGTGAATCGTACGCAGTACCAGGTCCAGCTGGCCTCGTCAACTCCCCAGACTTGCAATGGTTACGCAGGGTTCCCTTTTTGAGCCTAGCACATCCGTCGCCAGAGCTAACCTGTTATGGTTAGCGCCATGCATGCATACTCCAATTTTAGTTTTTGGAAGGGTTGAGCCGCAGGCCCCGCCCTGACATAACTGAACTTCTTTTTTCCCCTCTGCATCCCATCATGGCTTTCCCCGGTGAGCGTTTCGCTCTCGACCTCGAGGGCGATATTAATATCCCTTCCAACCCTCCTGCCTCGCCATTTGACTTGATCGGTGAAATCCGCGAGAGAGCTCCCACCGCCGCCAACCCGCCCGCACCGACGCCCACCGCTTCTTCCACCGGTTTCCCCGCCCACCGTCGCCGCAACAAACCCTCCTCGTTCAAGCAGCGCCGTGCTGAGCAAGCCACTCCTACTGCGCCTTTAAAAGAAGATCTCACAAAATCTACTCCGCCCACTATACAGGATGACAAGAAGTCCATCGGGGAGGAGAACACCCGCCATCTGGCATCCATGTCAGAGGCGGAGATCGAGAAAGAGCGGGAAGAGCTGATGGCATCGCTGGACCCTGGACTCCTAGAACGCTTCTTGCGTCGTGCAAAGATCGACGAAGATGAAAAGACTAGTGACAGCACTCCCTCATCAATGCCCGCAAAGGCGGAAGAAGTGAAGGACGAGAAAGAATTACCTTCCCAATCCAAGAAATCGGTCTCCTTCGATATCCCACCCACGGCCAAAGAAGCAACACCCAAGAAACCACCAACCACCAACCCCCTACCTACCCCTACCCAGTCTACACCGAAGCTGCCACCAGGACACGACGACCTCCCCCCCAACCAACGTTCCAAAGGACCTCCACCCCGCCTCGGAGTATCCAAACATGGACCCATCAACCATCGAACGCTTCCACTTCCCTCAACCAACGCAACCAATGCCAACGCTCGATCCATCATCTCCAAACTTCCTCGCCGATCTAAAATCCCACTACTTCCCCGAAATCACCCACGACCCCTCATCCCTCTCCTGGCTCCAACCCCCCTCATCCTCAGAAGAAGATCCCGATTCCACATCCGCCTACCACCCCGCCAGCAACGCCATCTCCATGGCCCCCTCTGCAATCCGCTTCTCGCTACGCGGAACCATCCTCGCCCCGGAAACTTCCCTCTCCCTCCCGACCAACATGGGCCTGCATCACCACGGTGACGACCCGCAAGCTGCGGGCTACACGATTCCCGAGCTGGCGATTCTATCCCGCTCGACTTTCCCTGCGCAGCGGTGCGTTGCGTGGCAGGTTCTTGGTCGGATTTTGTATCGTCTGGGTAAAGCTGAGTTTGGAGAGCGGGGTGGACAGTTGTCTGAGGGGTTGTGGTTCTGTATTGAGAAAGAGGGTGTTGTTGCGGGGATGTTGACTGAGGCGGATGGTGGGGTGGACTCGAGCTCGAAGCTGGGCAAGATCAAGACTGACGAGGGAAAGAAGGATGGTGAAAATGATGCTGGCCCGCCGGTTGCGTCGGGTATTGGGCGACATGCTAGTGCGACTGCTTGGGCTGTTGAGGGTGTTTGGTTGTGGCAGAAGGGTGGTGCTGGTGATAGGGGTTTGTTGAGAGAAGGTCAACATCGGTCGACGTAAATTGTACTAGTCTCTTGCGATTTTGTGCGTCAAGCTTGAAATATTTCCGATTTCTCTGAGTTAGTTGAATTTGCATCGAAGCGTGGCTTATATATAGATTCATGACATACTTCAACTCTGAGTCTAGAACTTGAAGTTCAAGATACCAAAAATATATCATTCCAGATATCAGAAATACCTCAGTTACTACTAATAGTAGTACTACTACCTAGGTAAAACCGACTCTATCCAATAATTCAGAAAGCACCTACTACTACTACTACCTCTACTACTACTACTACCTCTACTACTACCTCTACTACTACCTCTACTACTACCTCTACTACTACTACCTCTACTACTACTACTACTACTACTACTACTACTACTACTACTACTACTACTACTTATGCCAGAGAACCCGTGTCAGCATTTACCTCTAGGGCTGCCATGCCCGATTCCCACCCGGAATTCTAATGCGAGATACTTAGAAATATACTGAACCAGCCCGAACCTGAGTATATATTTACTAAGGAGGCCTTGAGCCCAGGCGCAGTAGATGTACACGGATGTCCAGGTCACGGTCACTGTGTGCTAGTACATCTCATTGAATATTAGGATCCATACATGATGACTATATCTACAGACTGCATGAGTATACGTATTTAATGCTCTTGACCAATAGAAATTGATTAAGATTGACTACTCCCATATTCAGTTCTCAAAATTGTTGACGGGACCGAGCTGAGCCGTAATTATGTGGGTAGCTATGTAGTCTGTAAAAATCCCCGTCGCTAAGCCCGTTCCACTTTATCTCTATCCAAGCCCTGGAGCCCTGTCCGGGTGGAGGATGGATCCACTTCAAACTCCTCGCACGAACCAGGCGTTAATTAGTATAGATTGAAAATATAAAAATCATGGGAGATCCGCCCGGGTGGATTGGATCCTATCTTGTCCCATGAGGGCTGATTCAACAGCCCCTGGAAGAGTAGTGAGGGCTACGGCTCTTGAACTTTGTACTTGGTAGCCAGGATTACCAAAAAGCATTGAGCGAACACTTTAAAAAGAACTCAAGTAGAAAAGGTTATTATAAAATATTTTGTGATATTTTTCTATTATATTATATATTCCGTATTCCCATCAATTAAGTCGTAAAATTATAGCCCAAATGCGCAGCATCCCAGCATCTTCGTTCGCCATCTCAGGCTAGTATATGTGTGTGAGTGGACTAGGCTTGTCCAGTCCAGTCCATGTATAGTCAAGGCCAGGCCTTACATTTACTTGGAGGCAGGCTTTTCCGAGTTGCGACGGTTGAGCTTCTTGGTCCTATGGGGCATGGATTAGCGGATATTCAAAGTTTTTGGGAAAGTGAAGAATGAACATACTGGCGAGAGAACCATGAGAAGCGGCGAGAGGAAGAAGATCCAGCAGGGACAGACTCCTGGGACTTGTTCATGCCCTGGAAGATGCTCTCAATTTGCTCAGCGTCGAGCTTAGCGCCGGTAACGTTGCTGGTGCTGGAGGCGGCCGAGCGAGGGCTGGTGCCGTAGGGGCCATTGCCGATGTAGGGACAAGCAACCATTTTGATTTGTGGAGGGTTGTTTGGGTGGTAGATACCGAGAGTTGGTATTTGAGTTGTGAGGAGTGGTAGTGAAGTGAAGAGGAGTGAAGTGAAGAGGAGTGAAGTGAATTGGATTGGATTGATGATACTCGAATTTGCAGGACATTGAACACGTTTATATCCTATTCTCAATTCCTTGCCTAGTATACATCTGGTTAGCTTTTTTGCGCTTTTTTCTGATGGTCATGGGACGGCCATACCGAAAACAAACCCGTGTGCCGGGAACCCGAACCCACTGGCAGGCCCAGCCCAGGCCGTTCCCGTACCGCGTAGCTCTTGCTCTGCTAGCTTCCCTGCCCGGCAAACCTGCGCAAATCCTGCATTTTGCCACCCAGTCTCAGGCCGATCTCCCGACCACAATCACCCGATCAATGAGAAAATTTCCTTGATATCTTGAGCTTGACTCCATCCACGAAACCGGCTAGCCTATCACAGGTTTCTATGAGTGATTTTTTCTCCCTCTGTCCTTCCCTGACAGGTCGAGACCCATCTCCCTGAATCTCCGCGGATAATAGAATCCCTTTTTCGTTTATCATTTCGATCACGCGGCACTGGCACTGTGGCAAGATTGCCCCAGCCCAGGGTGGTGTAATTGACTGTGACTGGCTGGGTGCTTGGGGTGCTTGGACCCTACCCTGGCCCCGTACCTGATAGGGGCTGATTGTGGCTGCCATGGAACTCGCCTTACTTTCCTCTTTCTAAAATAAGCACCTAATACCCTATCTATATTCCAAATGCATGACCATGCTAAATTTGAAGATAATTGTACAGTATACTGATCTAGAACACCCCTGGAAGGCTCTTATTCATCCCTACACGTACATACACACAAAAATAGCATGATCGCGATCGCGCCCGGGCCCTTCATGTCTTCACCACGTGCATTCATCGCCAAACCTAAGGTGGCAAGCTCTTACGATTTACTCTGACTCACCCCAGGACAGATTCCTCATTCTACGGTGTACATACAGACCCTCCTTTACAGTAGCTTAGGGTAAACGCGTAGACGAATTTTGAATTAGACTTGTGGATATACAGTGGGTCTGTCTAGCTTGCGAAAAAAAAAAAATTGATATGCACATGCCACATCTCGTAGATACTTCCAAGGTTCGTGCCCCATGGTCATAGCTTTTATTTCTTCCGAAAGAGACTTTCGGGCCGCGTTCCAGACTTTGGGAAAAGGATAAGTTACCTATTGTGGTTCGTTATCTGGGAATTCTCTTATCTGAGAGTCCCGAACACGGGGCTACCACCTACCATATGTAGGGTATCCTACTCCGAAAACAGGTCTACTCAGCTAAGGTTCCCATCTCTAAACTGGAATTAAGGTGGGTCGATCGGGACTTGGTTCCTGGGAATAAACTTGAACCCAGCGGCCAAGGTTTATGTAGCTACTATAAGATTTAAAATTCATCCATTGTCATACCATGGATATCATATCGTACAGGAATACCCACTCGCTCAAGTATACACGATAGAACGAACACCGACCACATGCAGGAGACCGTCAAGGAAAATAGGCACACATACACATAAAAAAAGAAAACTGCTAAACAATACACCCACACCACACTACACCACACAACACCCACTAACTCTGTTCCTGATCATCTGCCTGCACACCCCAAATCCGCCACTTCGCCTCCTCAACAAAGTCCCTCCGCAACCACAATCCAGAAGACTGGGACTGGGACTGGGACGCGTTCTGCGCAGTCAAGGTCAAGCTATTCGACTCATCGCCAGAATTGACGCGCTCAAGCCAATCGAACAAGAGACGCAGCTGCCAAATTCTATCGCGGACTTGGTCCGGGTCCGCGCCCCGACCACGGGCAGATTGAATGACATTCCGCACCGTATGCGAAAGCGCGAGTCTCGAGTCGACGGCCGAAGTGCGAAGCCAGGGGGGGCGCGGTGACGGGTTGGGTGGAGATACGCGAGGAGGGGGCTGGGAAGGAGGATGGGAGGACGAGGGAGCGTTCGCGGATATCTAGGCCTTGTAGGGAGGGGAGTTGGAAGATCCAGTCCCATGGTGATTGGGTTGGGGTTGCTGCGAGAGACAGAGAGCCGGAAAGTAAGGACTCGCGGCCGAGCTGGGCGGATGGAGGGAGGCCCTTGGCTGAGGTTGAGACTGTGGCTGCGGCTGTGGGGAGAATGTCTTGGGCCTCGCTGAGACCTGTGAGGGTTGAGGCGAAGATGGAGGTTGGGGCGCCGGATGGGGTGTAGGTTGCTTTGCGGCGGAGGTAGACAGATGGATCGCCGTGGCGGAATTTATTGCGGAGGGTGTCGTCTTGGCTGAAGTCTAGGACGAGAGGCCAGTGGTCTGGACCGCGGACTTCGATTCGAGTGATACCGCTAGGGTCTGGGAGGAGGCATGGGGCGGTGATGGTGTGAGTGTCGCCGACGTGGTAGGAGATTGTGATGGGGATGGAGATTGGGCGGCGGGTATCGAGGTCGCGCGGGACTAGGCAGCGCGGTTCTGCGGCTAGGACCCAGAGATGACGGAAAGCTTGTAAGTGGCATTTGTTGTCGAGGACGGTCGTTGGGAAGATGGGGTAGAAGGCGCAGAGCAGGGATACCACTGCGAGGTTGGATGTGCCGAGTGTATGGCTACCTCCACCAAGGAAGAGCATGCCGATTGCCATGTGGGCTGCCATGTGACTGCCGTAAGGTGTATCAGGATCGATTCGACCGTGAAGTGAGCGCAGGCGTCGGAATAGTGCCAAATCACCGGTACCAGCCATGACCGCGGCCGCGGATAGAGCCACGACGTCTTGACAGTTCCTAACTGAGTTGCGGGCAAGCTTGGCATCGTAGTTTGTCACCTGGAGCCGCGAGATGCGGATGAACTGATCTAGGTAGAACAGCAGTAGGTCCCTCGCCTGTGTATTACCAGATCCAGCGTAGCGAAGGCCGAGAGCAAAGCAAAGACCGGCGAGAATGTTGAAGAACGGCATGTCTTCACTCCGGAGCTGGTTGATACTAGTAAGGCGGGATCGCCGACGGTAGGTTTTTGGCAGACTCTCCTTGATCCATGTCATACTAGGCGAGATGCTATCCCACATGATGAGATGCCTCGCCAATGTACGCAGGAGGAAGAGATCCGGTCGGACATAATCAAAGCGCACGGTGGTGTCGGGAATGTCGACCTTCTTGGCCAGCACTGCATCGTTGGTTTTCATGAAGATGATGGTAAGGGCAATTGTGGCGCCCGCAGTACCCCGATCAAGAACATGAGCCAGATCAACATTTTTGGTACCAACGGCAATGGCCAGCAAGCGTTCGACGATGTGCATATCTCGCATTCCTCGAAGGTCTTTGCCCTTGCCTAGATTAATGAGTCCCAGAGCGAACCCGGCAGCTAGGCGGTAACCTTCGTCTCGCAAATCTTCTTGAGAAGCAGATTGTTCTTCTTGTTCAATGTTTTCGATCTCCGACAGCATAACCTCACTCATGCGCCGATGCTGCGAGCCACAATAAAGCAGGCCAATACCCATAATACCGGCTGTTTGAGTCAAAGAGGAAAGATTGAGTTCTGCTGCTCCAAGAGGCAGCATCCTAGTAACATGGACAGAGAGTAGACGCGTGATGAGCGTATCCATTGTGCCTAGATATGATGCGGAAAGACCAAGCAATAGGCCAATGGATGTCATCGTGTGCTTGGGTGTCAGATACTTGAAAGCCACCCATTTGGCTAGTGACTTCAAATGGCCATTCAGACCCAAAGCTAACAGGAACCCGGCGTGGCGGTTCGTAAGGTCCTGCGGCTTATTGAACAAGATCCAGGAAGTGTCAATTCCCTTAGAAGCCTTAGAAATCGCAAGACCGGTGGACACTCCGTTATGGAAGAAAGCCCAGCAAACCTTTTCTTCCGTAAATGCAGACCTATCAGCAGAGACAGTCACATTCGATGGCTTCATAACACATTGCAAAGAGAAGGATGGGATCGGCAGCTTCTCCGTTAACAGTGGTAAACGACCGCTGAAGGAGATCATGGCACGGCCAGCAGGAGTGGAAAGTGTCCGGAACGACACAAGCTGGACGATCTCTTTTTGCGCCTCGAGCAAATCGGAGTCTGTCCAATCTGCCTCGGGCACGCAATCTGCCACGGGTGCCTTGGATTGATTGAGAAGACGAGCAGCCTCTAGGAAGCGTTTATCTTCCCTGAAAACCAAACGAGTGACAGAGAAACGATCAGCCTCGGCAGAAGCTTCAAAGGCATTGATGGTATCAATCTCTAAGGCCGAAGTGCTGATGTTATGGAAATCACGGATTGCATCATGAGACACCATGGGCTGTTGTGGCGATGCAAACGAAGGAGCTTGAACAGGATTCATTGACATATAGAGGTCCTCTCGATCGATAAGCTCCAGCAAAGTTGAACTCCAAGATGTCGAAGCCTCGATCTGGCATTGCATCACTGCTTCGTATAACGGCGCCCCGACACCCTCAGGGAATGTATCAATGATGCTCTTAGTTAAGCCCCAGCGATGAAGAAGCTTGATCTTTTCTAGGTGGGTCGACACATTGTGAATGTCAGAGAGAAAGCCATTCAGTGCCAACGTTCTTGGTGTGATGTGGAAGCATTCTTGCCACATCCGCCCTTTTCTGGGGGCTCTGTCCGAGGCACTGACGATATCCAGAAGAGTCAGGAATGGAGTGGAAACTTGGCGTGCAGCAACCATGAGGAAAGCAAAAATTGACGGAGGAGTAAAGGGCTCTGCCGGAACATTGAGCAGTGAGATTCGAGTATCTTCAAAGTTCCAACGCTCCATGCTAGCCATCTCAGTGCCATAGTAGGCGTCTTCGTTCCAACCCCAGGATTCCCAACCGAGCCAGCCACCAAGCTGAGCGAGGACTGGGGCGAGCAGTCCCAGAGGATGTTGGGATTCCTCAGTATCACAAGTGGAAAGTTTCTGCTCCTCTCGGAACAGGTGGAGGCCCACGAGGATAGTACCCAAGGC